TTTATTTTTTTTTTTTTTTTTTTTTACTGCTTTTCTATTATTTTCTTATGGCTGGTTTAAATCTTCTTCTTTCTTTTTTCTTCCTTAACCAACTAGATAGTTAGACTGTATGCAGGAATGCACCTAAGTAAGAATGCCTGGCAGTACACAGCTACTGCTGTTTCTTAACAGTAGGAGAAAGAGTTATAACCATTCAAAAAACAAGAGTTGGTTTATTACAAGAGACTTCGGTATGAGTTCAAGGGGGTTCCTTGAGGGACCTTTGAGCTGGTGACTTTGTATGGTGGGGGAAAGGGGTGGTGACAGCACCCTTAAACGTTACTATAGTTATTTAACCAGATTCATTGTGCTAATTACTGGAGTTCACTGTGACACTCCCATACATGTACGTAACATGCTTTCATTGCATCCAACCCCAAAAAAGGACCAAGCAGATCCCTCCTCCCCTCCTTCTCCCCCTCCCCAGCAGCCCATCATCTCCTTTAGGTCATAAAAGAAACTTCTGAGGCAGAGCTTGGTGATTTTGTAGATGTGGCCATCTCGGGAGGTTCAGGAGCATGGATGTGGCCTCTGGGGTTGCCAGAGCTGAGGACGCCTGGTGTGAGCGGCTTCACCTCTCCAACCCCAGTTTTTCTCCGTGAGGACAGCGACACCTGATCCCCCCAGTTTGCATAAGGATTTAATGCACTAATACATGAAAGGATTTAATGCAACGTCTGTCATAGAAAGCACCTACTGAATGCCAGTTTTCACTCCTTGCCCTCTCATAAAGTAAAATAATCCGGGAAAGGAGCCACAATATTGCCATACCCTGCATATTTTCATCTACGTAAATCAAAGCCAAACCAGTCTGACCTTCCAACCAGGGAATAAAAGCTTAGGACATTTCTGGGAATACTGTCAGTCAAACTGATGTCTATAAGACAATTCTCCAAAAACTTGTCATCCTAGAATGCTCTTTTGTCTTTGTTTTTGTTTTGTTATTCTGGGGCTCGAACCTAGGGCCTCCTGCATGCTAAGCGATCCATAATGATTTTTAAGGACCTACCTGATGGCTCACAAGGGGACAGTGAGTGAGCAGGAACGATAAGGAAGGGACTTCTTCGAGGCCTCCTTTTCTGCAGCATGCAGGAACATAAAACTTTAGAGTTTTACGTACCTTCAGGAAGTTGTTCATTTCCTGATAAAAATTCAGTCTGCCCACCTGACGCCTCCCACCAGTGTGCCATTGAACAAAGAGGCAAAGCTGTCTGGAAGCCACACACATATCTACACCTAGCCATAGAGAAGAGCCAGGCCTCCTCACGTTCTGCACGGTCCCATACAGTGGCCAGGTGTGAAAGCAACGGCCAGAACTAGACAAACACAACTGATAAAAACTCTGAACCTTACGATCAAACTGAGTAGGTAGAGAGGGAGGTCATGAGGAAGTCTAGGTTGTGAACAGCAGAATGTTTAAAGTGGTCCTCTTGACCAAGGTGGCAGGGGCGTTGATACTGTTATGAAACATAGGAGAAAGGAGGGAAACCAAGGGGCACAAGATGATGAAAGAGAGGGGCTGAACACTGCCCTCCGGCACACAGCTGCATGTCTGACCAAATCCAACGTGAAGACTGAAGTTAGCAAGAGTTGAGTCTATGCATTAATGGCACTTTGATATGTGTGCATGTGGGTTTACATGCTTAGCAGCATGCACATTCTACCCTGTATGTTCAGTCGTTCTTACCTTTCACACCTAATTAAAATTTTTAGAAGAAAACCAAATAATTAAAGGATTAATGACCTGCTGTGGTGGTATGCTGCTGTAATCAGGCTACCACACTTGGGAGGAAAGAGAATCACAAATTTGAGGCAGGCCTGAACAATTTAACAAAACTTTGTCTCAAAAATTAAGAAAGGAAGGAAGGAAGGCAGGCGGGCAGGCGGGCAGGCAGAAAGGCTGAGATGTAGGGCTGTGCTCCTCGGTTCGAGCCCCAGAACCATCCGAACGCTGTCAGAGAGAGTATTTTACACCAGCATGCGCACTGAAGGTCCCCAGGGTCATGGTGGGCAGAGCACGCGTGACAGCGGGGAACTGTGGAAGAGGAGCTGCTCCCCAGGACACACACACGCCCTCTACACAAGCACTGCAAATGTCACAGGATTTTACAGGAACCCGAAAGGGACTCTTGTTGGGAGCTCACTTGTTCAGCGTTGGTTTCTCATCGTTGACTGGGGTAACTGCTACTGAAATGGTTCTGAGGGTCTTGTGCTTCCCATCGGACAGCTGGATCTCAAAGTCGTCTTCAAGGCTCTCTGAGCCGTCATGCTCGTATGTCAGTCTCATTCCTGCAAGAAGGAAAAGCGAGAGGGAAAGTAAATATTTCTCATGAGTGGACCGCCCCAACACATTACAAGTAATCCATTCCAATTTCTGCAACTGGTTTGTGAAGTAAAGGAGTGACTTCATAGCCAGTTAAACATGCTTCGCTTAAATAATTTAAAATTTAATAAGGTCTTAATTTAAAATCAGGAGGGAAAGAATTTATGAGGTGTTGGTGTGTTTAAATGAAAGTAAGAAAATGAACAACTGGAGGAAAATTAGAAAATCAGAGCCCTATCTGGAGCCAACTACCAACTACAAATTCTAAGTAGACCGAAACTTAAATATAAAAACTGTATTTAGGGCCAGGGATTTAGCTCAGTGGTGCCACTACCTGCCTCGCAAGCGCAAGGTCCCGAGTTCAATCCCCAGTATCCAAAAAACTATATTTAACTATATTTTAAAAAGCTACCTAATACTCATATAGAAGTGCAAGAAACTTTGAATAGCCAAAATGATCTTGAAAAAGAATACAGTTCTACTTGTATTACAGTGAAATAAAGTTTTAAATAGTAAACTGGGACATCGACCTTTTGTGACAGGGAAAGGGACCAGGAGTGGTGAGATGGGGGAGCCCTGGGGGATGAAAGAAGGATGAAGATGCATTCTGTGCATTTACCAGGCACCATGCTGAACGTAATCACCATGGAGTGCAAACAGCTGCTAATAAAGCTTCTAAAGAACCTACGAAAACACAAAATTACAGGGGCCAGGGATTTAGCTCAGGGGTGCTGCTGTCTGCCTCGCAAGTACAGGACCTGAGTTCGATCCCCAGTACCAGAAAATTAAACATAAAATAAAATAACAGTTCGGGACACCCATAGAAACACTGTCAAACACAGCAAGAACCTATTCTTATGAAAAACTATGTTTTCAATTAATATTCAAAATGTAAGAAAATTATTATATTTCATAAAGAAAAAAGATTATGAGATCGTAGCAGTTTTATAAGTTCTATATATTTATATGGCGGTATGGTTGAAAGAATATCTAGGCTTTTTAATATATGAATAAATGAGCCAAAGATAAAGTAGAGGTGAAAAATCTAATTTCTGGAAAGTCACTAAAATATTAACCTAAGTATTAATGTCTATGGACATTTTTCATTTTTCCTCAAAGCAATTATGTACACAGTGAGGATGTAATACTTATTTAACCTGATGATAAGCAAACCTGATAAGTCTTTTCCTGAGCGTGAAGTCTGAATCATTGCTTCTTCCTTTGTCTTCAATTTGAAATTGGAATATATTTGTAACAATATATTCTACTTTTTGCAGTACACAGTTGTTTGGCCACATCATCACTTATTTCATTGCAATTGACAGAAACCAAGAAATATATGAATTAGGTTTTCAAAGTCCAATGTGAGGGGATACTGTGCAACCATTACAGAACAAACTTCAGGGGAGGAAGCTTACGCTGTGGCTGCAGAAACAAATAAATGCAAGACAACGGGAAATGCCAACGAGGGCTAACAAGCAGCCGGCGCAGAGAAGGAGGTGCCTGGGGTCCAGGAGGAGCTGAGTGGAAAGACACATGCAGGAGGCCAGGACCCTCCAGGCTGGGATGACAAAGCAGGAGTACAAGGGGGAACGGGGGCAGGCGTGGGCGGTCGTCCTAGAGCACTTCGAACACTTCCATCAAATCTGTGGAAGTCTTTTTATATGAGGAAAATGAGATGAGATCGTTTTTTAAAACAGTGATTAAGAAATAATTCAGGCTTCTATTCAATGTATCATTTTTCCTCAAGAGCAAATTATCTTCTCAGAAGCTCATGAGTCTTTGTTATATGTGGTTCTATATTTGTCTCAACTGTGGAAATTTTGGCAGACACATTTCTTAATTCCAGCTATTGATCCCAATAGTTTTAAAAAGGAATTTTTTATTATGACATTAAAAACTAGCACTAAACTACCAAAATCTCAAGTGAAAGAAAACATGTTATTGTTTTTTAAATTATCTATTATTTCTAGCTGGGACTTCATGGCCTATGTTAATCCATAGCCCCAAAATAACCCTACCAGTGATGGCAAACCTTTCAGAGCTTTCACTGTGGCTCGCAAGCCACAAATTCACTGCCACTGCTGACAGATAAATAAAGCAGGAATGTTATCTCATCACTATGTATCTAAAGGACTTATTGTTATATCTTCTATGGGTTAAATTATTTTTAAATTGACAAAAACTGTATGTATTTATGGTGTGCAACGGTATCTTCATGCTTGTGGTATGATTAAATCAAGCTAAATAACATGTTATTTCATATGCTTGCCAATTTTTGTGCTAAGAACACTTAAAATCTACTTTCTGAGCAATGTTCAAGTACTTGACATCGTGTCATTAACTCTAGTCATGGTGATGAGCAGCAGGTGTCCTCAACATATCCCTCCCACCTGAGTACAACTGTGAAACCTTTGGCCACCTCCCACCCCCCTCCCCTCTACTTGTCAGCCTCTGGGGGCCACCATTTTGCTCTCTGCTTGTGTGAGTTCAAGGGGAAGCTAAGCTATTAAATCAACAACCGAGAAAAAGTGGGAAGTGAAATACCAGACTTGAAAAGTTCCATGGAAAAGTTGTGAACAGGCTCATGTTTTTGGCCAGGGCTGGCCAGCTGCCTGTTCTGAAGCAAGTCCTTGCTGAACAGCCTGTTGATGAGGAGGCCGTGACGGGGCTGGCGAGTGATGCTGAACAGTAAGAGGTCCTTGGGGACGTCAAGGTCAGCAGCACTGAGGACGGATGAGTCCAGCTCGGCCATCTGACCCTCACACACCTGGATGGGAAAGCCACGAAGTCCGAGTGAAACAGAACTCATCTACTAGTTACTTTTGACACTGCTAAAAAATTTCATTTGAAGATAAGCCTGTTTCAGTTTTTCTGAGATATATATAATGAGTCTCAAAGAGAAATTGCTGGTTTAATAGGAACATTATGAGGAAAAGGAAATCTATCAAGTACCCTCACATTTTTCTAAAGATTTCAAAGACTGTAAAGTAGAATCTCCACTTTCATATACCTGTTATTTTAATCTCCTGAACTTCTGTTTCTAAGTGCTCGACAAAGAGCAGAAACATCTGCTATGCACACCAAGTCTAACTGGTGGTTCTCATTTTTATTATTACAGCAAAACCTTCTGATTTCATTGTAGTCAACAATTGGGAATGATACTTCTGTGTTGATTTTGATGCTGGCCCCCTCACCTCCCCTAATCTTGCTCTTCTGATTCTCCTGAACCACTTCTCCAACTCTCTCCCTACACCTCACTTCCGGCATCAAAATCCTTTAGCCACTGAGAGAGTGGGATGCTTTTCATGTCACGTAGGATTTAGTCATTCAGAACTTGACCAGGTGGTACTTAGCTGTCTTGACCTTTTTTCCTTGTCTTCCTCTATGGTGAGAACAGAAAGAAAAAAAGAATAGTTTTGTTTCCTATTTTAAAATATGGCTAGATCTAAGCAATTAAAGTAAACAAATTCTACATACGCTTCTTGCAAATCTGTGCTGTCACTGTGCTACATGCTGTACCCTCAAGACTCAGTGTCAGGCGAGACTGTGAAGAGCTGCTTGTCCATCACACAACAGAAGGAAGAAAATGTCTGGCACTGGTGGGTATCAACAGACAAGAAGCACATGGGCATGGAGGATACCGGAAGTCTTCAGGACTGGGGGTATCACTCCATCTTGAAGGACCCATATGGCTCAGAATTGTGAAAGCACCCTGTCTTTTCCGCCTTTCTCATCGACTGGAGGGAACCTACCTGCAACCACTTTTTATGGAACTTCAGAAGGAATTACTTACCACAAAGGATACTTTGGGCTAAACTGATGCTGATTCTTTTTAACTTACTACAGGCTAAGTCAGTATCATCAATTAATTTCAGAATGATATATTCATGAAATTCTTTGATGGTAACTCACCTTTTCCCACATGAATTTTAATAAAGCCACTTAAAAATATCTTGTATTTCCTCCAGTGGGGATGGTCAGCTCCTTTGTCAAAGATGACATAGCTGAGTACATCTGGAGTTGTTTTTGTGTCTTCCAATCTGATCCACTGATCTTCAGGTCTGTTTCTTTGCCAGTACCATGCTGTTTTTATCACAGTGGTTTTGTAGTATAGTTTCAAAGTGGGAATTGTTATACCCGTAGCCATGTCTCTGTTGCCTAGGATGGCTTTTGCTATTCTAGGTCTCTTATGGTTCTAGATGAATTTTTGGATTCTTTTATCTAGTTCTGTGAAATACAGTGTTGTAATTTTAATCAGCATTGCACTGAATCTGTATAGCAGCTTTGGTAGTATGGCCATTTTCACTATGTTTATCCTTCCTACCCAGGAGCAGGGGATATCTTTCCATTTTCTTACACCCTCTTCGATCTCTTTTTTCAGAGTGCTGTAGTTTTCAGTGTAGAGGTCTTTTGCTTCTTTTGTTACATTGATTCCCAAATACTTCATTTTTTTTAATGCTATTGTGAAAAGAATTGTTTCCCTAATTTCTCTCTCAGTGAGTCTGTTATTTCTGTACAAGAAGGCTATTGATTTTTGGGTGTTGACTTTGTATCCAGCTACTCTGCTAAAAGTGTCAATTAAGTCTAGAAGTCTTTTGGTGGAGTATTTTGGGTCTTCATGTAGAATATCAAATCGTCAGCAAAAATGACAGTTTAACTTCTTTCTTTCCTATCTTTATTGCTTTCATTTTTTTCTCTTGTCTAATTGCTATGGCTAATGTTTCTAGAACTATATCAAAGAGGAGTAGTGATAGTGGGCATCCTTGTCTTGTTCCTGATTTTAAAGTGAAAGTTTTCAGCTTTTGGCCATTTAATACGATGTTGGAGGAAAGACAGCCTCTTTAATAAATGGTGTTGGAAAAACTGGATCTCAACCTGCCAAAAATTAAAACTAGACCCTTATCTTTCACCATGCACTAAATTAAAATCCAAGTAGATTAAAGATCTAAATATTAAAACAGAAACACTAAACTTGCTGGAAGATAAGTTAGGCAGAACTCTTGAAGACATTGGCATAGGAAAAGACTTTAAGAACAAATCCGCAATAGCACAGGAACTAGCAGAAAGAATCAACAACTGGGATCTCATCTTACTACAAAGCTTCAGCACTGCAAAAGAAACAATCAACAGAGCTAAGAGACAACCTACAATGTGCAAAAACATTTTTACCAGCTACTCTTCAGACAAAGGACTCTTATCTAGAATATATAAAGAACTCAAAACAATCAGCCACCCCAAATATAAAGACCCAATTCAAAAATGGGCACCTGAAATGAACAGACATTTCTCAGACAAAGAAGTAAAAGCACCAAGTAAATACATGAAAAAATGTTCCACATCACTGGTCATTCAAGAGATGCAGATTAAAACAACACTGAGATTCTACCTCACCCCCCAAAGAATGGCTGCTATCAAGAATCAAACAATAACAAACGTTGGCAGGGTTGTGGGGAGAAAGGAACCCTTCTCCATTGTTGGTGGGAGTGCAGACTGGTGCAACCACTATGGAAATCAATATGGAGATACCTCAAAGAGCTGGGACTAGAGGTTCCGTTTGACCCAGCCATCCCTCTGCTTGGTATCTTTCTAAAAAAATTATACCACAGTGATATACAAACACCTATGTTTATAGCAGCACAGTTTATCATAGCTAAAACTTGGAAACAGCCCATTTGCCCATCAGTTGGAGACTGGATAAAGAAGATGTGGTTTTTCTATAAAATGGAATACTACTCAGCCATAAAGTATGAGAAATTAGAGTCATTCATAGGAAAATGGATACATATTGAGGATATACTCCTAAGTGAAATAAATAAGTCACACATGTGGAAATACAGAATATTTTCTCTGGTATGAAAAACTATAATAGTACATAAGATCCTAATGAGATAATTCACAACATGAAATAGGAAGAAAAGGGCGAAAGGTGTATGGAAAATGGAAGGGTAGGGGAAAGGTAATAAGGGAAAAGAAAAAATATGAGAAAATGGAAATAAAGTGTTTGTAAATGGGGAGGAGAGGAGCGGGGAGGGAGGGCAGGGACAAGGGGAAAAAATGAGAACCAAGACCTGTCATGTAAAGGTACAAGATCCCAATGATGAATGCAACTGTACTGTATACCTAATATGTACCAATAAACTCAATTTAATAAAAAATGTGTTATATTATTCTTTGAAGAGTTTGACTATAAAGCTTTTATTCACCTTAACTCACTGTCTGGCAACATTTCTCATTTATAGAACAGTGAATTTGTTCACAAAATTACTAGGAAATGTTATTGAAAAAAGTGGGATCTGGGGGGATTACAACAATAAACAAATTAGATCAATATACATAAAATGCAGCCTTTTACTAGGAGATAAGTTTAGAATGGATTATAATAATTTAAACTAAAACCTTAAATCTTTTTGAAGCACAATTTGTTGAAAATCCAACTACCTCAGACTTAAGTTACTTTTCTCACTGCTGGCACAAATACCCAATACTCAAAGTTAAAGGAGGAAAAGTTTATTTAGCTCACAGTCTGTAGAGGTTTCAGTCCATAATGGGCTGCTCCAAGGCAGAAGGGTGCGGCAAGGAAGAAACAGTTCATGGCAGATAGAACACAGCAAAGGAACAGGGGACTTTAACAGAGTCTTTCTGTCCCTTTCATCCAGACTTCTTAGGGTGGGCAGCACCCACACCCTTAATCCTAGCTCCCTTGAACCTAGCCCTGCACCATGAACCAATCCCAGTATCACACACTCTAGATCCAGCCACCTCTGAAAAAGTTCCACCTGTGACTGCATGAGACGTGGGGGGGACATCTGGACACAGCCGTGACAATACACAATAACTACATTTTTCACAAGAAGGCAAAAATATGATTTCATAAAAATAAAATCCTTTGAAGCTTAAAATTAGTTCTACCAATGAAGTAAGGGGCTCTGTATTTGTCACTCTGCAACAGCTTCTCCAAGAAGCACACAGGTACGAAGCATGACCTTCCAGGGGAGAGAAAGGGGCAGTTTCCCAGTGGCCTAATTATTTCAGAAGCCCCTACCTAGACAGATAAAGACAATAGAGGCAGGCAGAGAAGAAATCACCTGTAGTTTTCTTTCCTCACACGTAATTATTAAAGGGCTCTCCAGAGAAACCCACATGCCAACAGAAGAGATGAGGCAGGCAGGAGCAGGCTCTGAAATTTCACTCTGAAGTGAATCAAATAAATACTCTCACACTCACAGTGTGATGGTCTTTAGTTTATAAAAAGGCAAATAAGGTGTTTGGTCAGTATCATTGAAAACTGACAAACATAACAACTCTGGCGTGTCCTCGTTACGGATCTGTGGCGCCTGGCCCCCTTGGTCATCGTGCCTACACTTCAGAAGCGCTCGACAGGCACCTGCAGGTGAGGGAGTGGAAGCACAGAGAGAAACAACCCACCCAAGATCTGACAACTACTAAAAGCAACAGCCAAGTCCAGCTGTTTCCAAAGCCTACATTCGTTCCATTTCATAAATCTGAACCAAATAATCGTAAAGGTTATATAATTGTTTAGAAATAATTAAATAGTGATATGAAAGGATTTCCATTGTACACAAATTAGGGTTTTTTTTTCAGAAAGTATAGGGCAGAGGAGTACATATTGTGTAACCCCTTATTAGTAAGTAAAACAGAGAGATCACAAAACACATACACATTACCAGAATGCACAAATTATTTAGGCTACTTAGTCCCTTTCTGCCTCATTTCTTCAGTTATGAAATGGCTATAAAATAATACCATCCATCTCCTTAGAAGCCTAACACGAGAATTAAACTGAACACATGCAAAGTTTTGGAACCTACAGCCTAAGTACTAAATCCTATATGTAGACAACCAAGTAATAGCATACTTGCAATTGCTATACGCTAACAACTACGTTTATCACTACTGCTATTATTAAATTAATGCATGGTTTCCAAGTGATTGCATTACACGACAGGATATGCCTTCCCCACCCCTCAGCAATTTAAAGCGTGAAGCACACCCACAACAATGCCAATGGACAGGTGAAGTAAAAGCCAGAAAATAAGAGAGCGGGAACATTCCGATATGCGTCTTACACTAATATTCTGTACTACGAAGTCAGGGGCTTCATCATTGGTGGGCTTGATCATAACAGAAAACGGAGCCTCCAGGGAGCGGCGCTTCCCATCCGTGACGCACAGCACGAACTGGTCGGCAATGGGTTCCGTTCTCAGATGCCTGGACTGCACATAGTTAATGTGCAAAGATTTCACGTCTTTCCACTGGAAGGAGGCTAGAACACACCAACACGGAACATGAAGAGCAAATAAGAGATCAGAGGTTGCTGCAACACCCGCCACTCATCAGCATAAAAGTGGATGCCCAGAGAGCAGACAGAAGAGTTCAAATTTGCATGAAAGACACAGAGCAACCACTGGTAACGAAGATGCACAGGGACTTTACGCCCACTCTTCGTTGTGCAGGATGAACGCCAGGGATGCTGCCCTTGATTAAACCACTGCCTCTACACGAGCAGCGCTTGTCACACTTGGGTAAGAAAGAGAACACCTTTCACACAAAGGCAAAACAAGAGTCAATAGATTATCTGTCTACTTGGCAGGCACATCAAGCAACTGACTGCATTAACTGGGATCAGCTGACTGATGTTTAGATACCGTGATATGGACTGAAATCAAAACAGAAAAAATACTCTAAGTTGTTGACTAAGTCACAGGAAAAATTGGATAACCTTTAAAGCAATTACTCTGAAATCCAATTATCTCTCATATTCAAAATATATGCCTCAAACAGGACTGGAGAATCCTTTACTTATAAAATGTTGCCTCTGGAAAATTTTGCTTTTGCTTTCTATTTTTGTTTTGTTTAGTCTCTGCCTGAACTAGAAGAGCTATTTAAACATGAGACACATTTTGGTTTCAATATCAATGTCATCTGTTCCAGTATCTCAGGCTTTCTCTGTCATAACAATCACAATGTATTTTCCAAGCTGCTGTACCAGTATCTTAAAAATGCTACAAAGCTGCGAGACTGATGCCTTGTGAGCTCCCGGCAAATTCTATCAAAGTACTCTGTGCTGCCATGAGAGCCTTTAGAAATATTCTCTCTTCAACGTTTATTCTTATATTTTCCACAAGTAAATTTGCATTTATCTTGATATAAACTTGACACGGAAAAGTCAGAAAAAAATTAAAACAAACAACAATAAGATGTGAAAGTATCAGCTGTAATAATAATATCTTGAATGTATACGGAGCTAAGAACATTTCTGATTCCTTATTAAACATGACCCAACTGATCACACGCATGAAATGGGCATCGTCCGGCGTCATGAGACCATGACTTACCTATGCTGATCCCCATATTGCTTTTCTCAAACCCTGCAGAAGGGAGTGTGTTTTCAAGGTAGCCAAACTGCGGCGGAGAAACCAAAACAAACTCCAAGTCGTCTGCAGCAGTGTCCGGGTCAGTGGCAGACAAATGGTGAACGGTGAGTGCCGCTGAGGACCCCTCATCCACAACAAACATGGAGCCTGCACACCAATAACAATATAATGAGGACCTAGCACTTCTGACCAGAGAAGGGAGGACAAAGGGAACGGTGGAAATTCCAGTTCAGAAAAGCCTCCCACACGGAGACACATCTCCGTGGGAGATGTTCATTCCCTGGGGCATCATTCCCATTACAGTGAAAACACTTAGGGTAACGGGTGGAATTCAACTGGACTTGTGGAGTTGCTGTTTCTCTGGTACAAGCCAGCCAGATAATAATGGTAAGACAGAAAACAATGCTGAAGGCTCCAGTACAAAACTTCCCTCATTCTCAAAGAACTCTGATTTCCCTCGAGTCCCTACAGAAGTGACAAATGAAAGTAAGAATTGCCAAACTGTTTTAATGGTAAGCCACTAAATGGAGTGTATGTACTCTTCAAGATCAGTTGTTACCTCTGTTCGTCAGAGTGTTAATTGCCTGAGAGCTATTATGAATTGCTCATAACGAACATTCTTTTCCTGCCTGGTGCTTAATTATTCTGCTGGGATAATGCTTCCTTTCTAGAACATTGCTTGGGAGATAGTTTGCAAATTACAATAACATTCATACATATGCTGATTTTTTTTCTGAGAGACAGGACATATACATAATGCTTATGAAGAGATGACTTTCTAAAAAGCAAATAAAGTTAAATGTATATAAATGGTCTCTCTGGTATACTCGTCCTAATAGAAATTATTATGGATAAAATAAATCACTCCAGCAGGCAGCAATTTATATTTTTCCCATGTGAAATAAAACCAGAATATTTGAGAATTCCAGTGTTGTCCTGGTCCCAAAGCATGCATGTTCTCTCCCTCCCTCCCAATATTTAAAGTAAACTCTTTTGCCTTGTGAACTTTTATAGATTTGGAGTTTTCTACAAGTTTCTATTGAGGCAATTATTAGAGGGAAATCATTTGTGATGTTTTGCCTGTAAATAAAGTGCATTACTTCACTAACCCACAGCTACAACAGTAGGTGAGCTAATAGTACTTTAACAAAAAAAAATTGTCACCTAATGCAATTGAAGGTGGCTGATTGTCTACTGGATATACTGTGACATTCAGATCATACACTGGAAAGGACCCATGAAGAGGAACAGATGGATTCGGTCCATTGTAGCAACAGCCATTCACAGAAGGGCCAGCTTCTTGATCAGAAACCACCAATGCAATGGTGTCAAAACAAGGCACCACGCCAACCTCGCCACCTGGAAGACACAACGATGGCTGAAACTTGACTTTTTTAAAATACAGAAAACCAAGATCAAATCCACTTACACCTCTTCTGCAAGCACTGAATGGCAAGAGAAGGAACTTGTGTGGATAAAATGTGAAACCCAATTTTATCACTATGAAATTAAATATAGTCATGAAAATAATGCCAAAATGCTGTCCATCTGCTGCCTCCAGTGAAAGCTCTGCCAGCCATCTACCACCATATGGAGGGCAACCTAGGGCTAACAAGGGTCTGACAGTTCACAGATGAACAAGGGAAAGGCAGGAAGCTTGCCTGGCGATGGTTTCATTCTTCCCTCATAACCATTTAGCACTAGGACCAATCTCAGGGAGAAGCAGCAGGCACCCTTGTCACGCCCTTGTCCCTTGGCCGACTGTCTTTCCATCTGCATTAACCAACTTAAATAAATAACAGCAACAACGCAGTGCTTATATGAACAGAGGACTCGAGCAGGTGAGGAACAACGGTGACCCACAGTTTGGTCATTTATTTCAATATTTCCTTTTCATATAGTAGCCAACATTTTCTGCTGAAGTAGCAACTACGCCTGGATAAGAAGTGGCATTTACTGTCACGTTCTTCCCTGTGCTTTTTTTTTTAGTCTTACTAAGATTCAAAATGACCCCAGTTTGAACAGCAAGAGGAGGAGGAAGGAAGAAAACTCCGTAGCTTGGCAGCACACAGGATATTTCCTGAACACAGTGCATGGCAGAGGAGAACTTGCTCTCCAGGGACAGGAAGGCCCTGCCACGTGCTCTTCAATTCTCAGGCATCACCTCTGACCTGCCAAGAGGGCAGCGATTCGTGCTGTGAGCTTCCATGAGCCTAGGGCTTGAAAGATCAGGAACCTCATCTCTCCTCACCAGGCACACTGGTCAAATCTGCAGAGTACCGTGCTTAATATCATTTTCCCTATTCGGAAAAACGACAAGGAAAACCCACAGATGATTTCACTGAGCAACTAAAAGATTAAAGGACGATACACCGGAAAAACAGGGTTGAAGTCAGAGTTAGAAAGAAACAATCTGTGTTCAACTCTGGGAGAAGGCAAAAATAAGAGCACTCTCCCCTCTTCGTGTTAGCTAAAAAAATGGCTTGAAATATTCATCCATCACTTATTCACTTGATAAACATTTATTTAAAAGCCTAAAATGAAACAGTGTCCTGGTTGTTCCTGCAGAGAAAAGGCTGATATTTTGTAACTGTCAAAAGCATTTCAGGAGAATTTCAAAAGTCAAAAGATTGTGTCAGACAGTCTAAGGGTGGAACGGAACACGGTGTGATCAGAGTATCACAGATGTGTGTGTGCACACATCCTGTGGGTTAGACCACAGGAAATTCTACTACTGAATCTTTTAAAATCTGTTAAGTGGCAATTTCACTTACTGAAGTTCTGCTAACTACTGAAATTACTCCTAAGACGGCATGCAAATAAGAGGGTAGTGAGACATCACTTAAAGAAGGGAAGTCTGGCCAAGAGAGCAGACGTTCTTGTATTAACCAACCACAGACAACTGGTACCCTAACAAATCAGTGTTTTCCAAAATACATATGAAAATATTAAATCAAAATGTTTTCTCTCATTTCCAAATTAGTCCTCAGCAGTCTCTATCCCTCCTCCTTCAGATCCCTCCCCACCTCATTGATTGAATTTTGTCTCTTCACATAAAAAAAAGTGACTTGAATTCTGGTGGCCCTTTCTTCCTGTATCCATCCTACTTCCTCCATGCAATTTTCAGTTTAAAGAGGCATATGAATGAGTAAACAGGAAGTTGCAAGAGTGTGTGATTAATTCCAGCAGGAGGAAATATCTGCTATGATAGAGGCAGTGTCCTAGCCCAGACCTCAGAGCATGTGCAAGGGGAGGTAATATGATGATGTGCAGATATGTCCCGCTGGCATCTTTGCATATGAATGGGTTTGTCTGCCCATTTAAGTCAAAATCTTTCACAGTGGGGCTGGATTACACTCCATGTAAACGCACAGTTCCTGGGGCTGTGCCTTGTTGCAATGCTCAATTAGTATTTTCTCTAGTTGTTCTTCTTCATGTGGAGAACAAATATCACCTGCGTAACACTATACTGTGATGCCAGAAATGTAAGCGTGGTGCTTATAAGCAAGTATTTGTTACAGACCCATCTAATCTGTGTTCACACTGCCACGTGCTGCAGGCAAGTCACGTGGTGGAGATACTATCTTTGCTTCTTAAGAACTCAAAAAGTGGACTAGTTTACTGCCTAGGTGCTAGCTGATGATCAGCAAACTTCAGAAACTAATAATGTAATTTTTTTTCACTGAGTTTATTGGTAATTTTAGGTATACAGTACATTTACATTTATCACTGTGATCTTGTACCTTTACATGGCAGGTCTTGGTTCTCATTTTTTCCCCTTATCCTTGCCCTCCCTTCACCCCCTCCACCCTTTCCTATTTACAAAAACTTTGTTTTTTCATTTTCTCTTATTTTTTCTTTTACCTTATTTCCTTTTCCCTACCCTTCCTACTTCTCCTACACTTTTAGCCCTTTAATTCCTATTTCACATTGTCAATTACACCATTTGGATTTTACTTACACTTTTAGTTTTCCACACCAGAGAAACTATTCAGTATTTACATGTGTCTTATTTAAGTGTATGGCCTCAGTGTGCATCCATTTTCCTATGAATGACTCTAGTTTCTCATTCTTTATGGCTGAGTAGTACTCCATTTTATAGAGAAACCACATCTTCTTTATCCAGTCTCCAACTGATGGGCAATTGGGCTGGGAAACTAATAACGTAGTTTCCTTGACGATATTACTTCAAGCATTTCTATTAAGACTTATGAATCCATAAGGTACAGTGGCCAAATAAGCCTCCTTCAAATTGACCAAAAGAGAGCATCCAGGACAGAGCAGCAAGTGACAACTGTTCTTTCTCCACTTTTTGAGAGTCCCTAGAACACTGAGATCAGAAGCATTTCTGTACATGATGATCGTATTGGGAAAATGGGATACAGGCAGCAGCTGTATCGTTTTTGATGGAAACCAGCATAAATACCATCATCAGGTCATGGGAGCCCACAGCCAGGAGTGAAGTGAGGACTCCCACGTTGCCTGCACCCCTCATGACTCACAACGCTGTCACTTACCTGTGTGTCTGTATGTCACAGCTCCGGAGCTGAGATCTCCCTGGGAAAACTGATCCACTTCGACTCCGGCCTTCCTCACCACCCCATGCTGGGGTTCTCGGGCAATCCAAAACATCAGTTTCAAGTCATCACTGTCCACATCAGTAGCAGAAACATACTCGTGAGTGATGACCACCTCTCCACCCTCTGGGCAATGCATCATGGGGATGAGGCCAGGCTTTAGGACTGGGGGCTCATCATTTACAGGGAATACCTACAAAGAAAAAAAGACAAACTTTCCAGGAGACAAAATGAAATGACAAACTGTCCAACTGGTACCCAGTAGCTCACAGTCACGTTGACAGGTATTTTCAATCTCCCAGTCATAGCACCAACAGCCATGGAACGCGGCCAAGAAGGCTGCGTTTTCCCACTTTCCCCTATGTACCATCTTGCAAGGAATGGCCCCTGTGGGAGGCAATTTAGGCAGCGTCGGGGGAATCCGGTTATGGTCTGGGACTTCAAGCTCTCATCCCTTTCCAAAAACACTACAAATAAAATGTAATATAAAGCATTTCTCACCACAGTCCCTGCTTCCATTGTTAAATTCACGCATATTCACCTGGAATTCTGTTCCTGGTGGATGATGCAGAAACATTCACAGCATTGTGTCTTTTTATTTCAAAAGATTTAGTGATCACGAAGCTTTCCTCTACCTTCAACTTCCTGCTGCCCAGAAAGTTTCTCTGGGCTCACACTGAGCCACAGCAGCATTTCAGATGCTTTGAGCTGCGTGCGATATGGCGACCTGGTGTGAGCCCCAGAGCCTTGCTTTGCGTCAGGCTCGTCTGGGAGCCTTTACGTTTCTCTCCCCGCTCTTCCACCAAAGGGATCTTTTCAAATGTCACAGCTCTGCAGGGACCTTCAGCGGCTTCCCGGCTCCTCCCGCAGCTCACCGTGCCATCCAGGGGGTGCCTTGCTACCGTCCTGCACTTTCACTCCCGCAGGTCTCAGGCCCTTGCATTCCCTGTCTCTTGCCCAGCAGACTTTTTCTCAGCTAATTACTGCTTTAGGTTCTATGTGGATTCCCTGACCATTCGGGCTAATTTGGGGCTCCTGTTGTTTACTCTCTTTTAGCATCTGTTTATTTGGTAAAACACATATGGTTTTTAATGAATTAATTATTTTAGTGCTGATTTGTTTAATTCCTGTCTTCAAACTTGGCCTGTAACCTCTAGAAGAACAGGGGCCCTTTTTGCCTTGCTCATTACTATGTTCCAAGCATCTGGTCTAAGACATGCCATAAAGAACACACAGAGGGCCAGGGATTTAGCTCAGTGGCACTGTGCCTGCCTTGCAAGTGCAAGGTCCTGAGTTCTACCGCTGGTACAAACAAACAAACAAAAAAAGAACACACATAAACATTTGTTGAATGAAGGAATAAATGAGTACAAATTTAAATATATGCCCTAATTATTCTTCTGTTTAAAGAGGCTAACAACTATACCACAAATACACATGAAATTATTTTGACAGTTTCCTGCAATGGGTAGAGGGATGGGCTGAGAGAAGCCCCAGCTTAATTATTTAATCAAAGATATAAAAACAGTATCTAATATTTTTCTATTTTTCTATTGGCTTAGTAAGAAAGAAGTCTTTGTTCCTGTCTTTCATGTGAATTCATTAAAGACTTCTATTATGGTTTTGACTCTAAGGAATTTCACGGATCAATTCAAATGGATAATAAAATCCAAAGGAAAAGAATTAAAACATCCCCTTTAGGCAAAAAGACTACAAACGCTTGCCCCAAAATTGTGCCTTCAACTGCACAGAACATACCCATTTTTTTTGAAAAGTAGCAATAAACAGATTCCTTGCCCAAAATGAATTGCATATTACCAGTAATAAGATGGTCAGAGACAGAAAACAGGGTTGGAGCTTTTTCCCCTGAAATTTTTTGGGGGAGGGGGGACTCACTTCAGTTGAGCTTTTTGTGTATGTAAGTCTGCTGAAAAAGAGAACACACCTTTATGAAGCTGAAATAACATACTGCTCGTCATCGAGACCTCAAAGGCTGTTATGAGGACAAAGTAGGGAAACATAAGAAAAGGCTCCATACCATCCCTGGTGCAGAAAGTTACTAAGGACCTGTTGGCAATGGAATTACCTGTCAAGGAAGAAGTGTGGCACTGGTGAGGACGCTGGCCTGGGTATCAAGAAATGGAGATGCCAGCCAACTTACACTTTGGACAAATCATCTGATCTTCTTAGGCCTAAGTGTCCTTAACTATGAAACAGGGATGATTCCTTCCCTAGCTTAAATAACAGATGTATGTGATATTATTAATGACTGCCTTAGTTATTTTCCTCATTGCTGAGACAGAATACCAGACACTCAAAGTTAAAGGAGGAAAGGTTTACTTGGCTTACAGTTTGCAGAGTCCTTAATCAACTACTCCACGGCAGGGTGGTGTGGCAGAGGGGCATCGCAGATGAGAAACAGTCTAAGACAAGCAGGTAAGGGAGAGCACATTAGCCCTCTTTCTGTCCAATATTTTATGCAGGTTACCTAGCCTAGGGCAGGTGTAGTTCTCATACCCTTAATCCCAACCAGAACTATGCCAAACCAATCAGTGGACTGATTTAGTAATCATAGACCCCCCGCCATACCGGCACAAGACAGTCTAGATCCAGCTACTTTTGAAAAGTGCCCCACCCCCGTGATTACATGAGGCCTTGGGAGGACATCAAGGCACAAGCTATAACAATGACCAATTATAAAATATATTAAAACACATTACCACTAATCATAATTGCACATCACAAAAATCTGGCTGATATTCAAACAGAAAGAGACAGAATCTAGCATAATAAAAATAATTAGTGGTCCTTCAGGGAACAAATTTTCTGTAGCCCTTGCTTGGTCACTATCAACACCTGCAAATCCTATGAGTTATGCTCATGGACACTGATAGACACTACAGAGAAATGGCAGAGTTCTTAGAAGTCCTTTCAGTATGTACTCAAACTATATTGGTATATTTTTCTTTACTTGTCAAGAAGGAGAAAAACAACTTCAAGTAGGCGGCCAAAAATTCACAAAAGAGCTATACACACTTGCATACATGACTTCTTCCAAAAGGAAGGAAAATCTCAGTGATGCATTTCTAGGCTAACTTGCTGAACTGCTAACTAATCTTTCTGAGTGTTATGATTCGAAAGAATTGCAAATCGTTTAGGCATGTGTTATGACTTGTCTAGATGTCCCCCAAAGCCTCATGTAGTCATAGATGGAGATTTTCAGAGGTGGCTGGATCTAGAGTGTGTGATGCTGTGATCAGGGATATGATGCTGGGATTGATTATTCATGGTATAATGCTAGAATCAAGGATGCCCCACCCTGGGTGCGAGTGGATAAAATATAGGGACAGAGACAGGACTGCTGCCATCGCTTGCTGCTTTGCTACTTTGCTGCCTTCTGCCTGACATAAACTGTTTCTCCTCTGCAATGCCCCTCAGCTAAGCACCGGAGCCAGCCAATTATGGACTAAAACTGCTACAAACTGTGAGGCAAACAAACCCTTCCTCCTCTAACTTTGGGTGTTGGGTATTTTGTCTCAGCAATGAGAAAAAGAGTAACTAAGACAACATGGAATCTATTACCTCAAAAATCAAGTATCTGGTGTTGAGGTATGAGTATTTATATTCTTAAATGGATTGGAGAGAATAATATGCCCATTCACCAATATAACCATGCCTGGTTCAAGTGGTAAGCCGGCATTCTTTTTTTTGCTTTGGACTCTGTATGTTTTAAGTTATATCTAAGAAGTTTCCAAAATAGATGTTTTAGTTTTACACAACACAAGGAGGAAAATCTTCTACTCACCTCAACATGTAGAACAAATTCGGCCCAATTTGTGCCATCTGTGACCTGCAAGTATATGTCGTCCTGAAGAACCTCAGATCCATCATGTCGATACCTGTGGGAATAATGTTTGTAACCATTCTTTCAAGAACACTGTGAGAGTAAACTGAGTTGATGTATTACCCAAGAGTTCCTCCACAATTTTGGACTTGTGTTGAAAGAATGAATGAAGGAAGGAAGGAATGAGAAAAAATAGCACAATAATGAAGTTACATATTTAATACACAAGTATCCTTCAGTGTAAAATTGCTCCACCTTGGGAAAATGTATTGTATATGTTGGTGATTTGTCCACAAATCAAAAAGTAGGACTTCAATGGCCCCGTGACAATGGGAACCACTTCGTGGAGCTCTGCCTACTTAAAGCCTGGCTGGGGCCAGACAGACCCCAAAATCTAGCAACAGACAAGGAAAAGTGGAATCTCAATCTGATGAGTCCCTCTCCCACTTTCAAAGCTAATTCTGCCCGTACTCTGAATCTACCCAGCTGCTCTCTAAACCTTGATCCATGAATTACATTTGCCTCCCCTCTACTATTTCCCTCTTCCACTTACTAGCTCTCTTCCTCTCAGTCTACAAAGGCTCTTAAATCTCTCTCTCAGATTTAAAAATACCCTTCCTTGATCACCCTTGGCCCTATTTTCCTTTAATCATCAGCCAAGTTCCTTGAAGGGATTGTCTAATTCTAGGCTTTCCATGGACTTTCCAGCCCACTGCAGTTTATGCCCAGTAATTTCTAAATAGCTACTGAATTCATTGAGCCAAATTTTCAAAAATCTGTTCCAGATACTAAGAAATGGAAGTAAGTCCTAGAAACGGAAAGTAAAAAGTTACACTAAATACAGCAGAGAATATTGAACATATAAGATATTTATCAGTGGAAAAAAAAATCAAGACTATATTTACTTGGGAACCCCCCAGGCTTCCCACATTCAGCCTCCTATGCTCTGTCTGGCCATACTCCCTGCTGCTTCCATCAGATAGACCGATGAGTGATAATGTGCTGATCCTGTTTTACTCTATTAGTACCCTAAACAGTCAAGTGGACCTCAGGGCACATATCCAAAGGTGTGACTAGTCAACGACATTTTTCAATACTTCATTGTGTGAGTACCTAGCTAAGTGACCTTGGGAAGCCTCATGGACTTAGTTTTTAACTATAATATGAGAAATGAATCCTCTACCTTGCGAGGTTTGATTACTGTGAAAAAATAAATAAATAAAATTAATTGCAAATCTCTAATTAGAGTACTTTAACATATAGTTCTAGCAGGCTTTGGTACTTTTTTCCTATCATTCATTTATTCCCTAGTAAGAACTGCCTAAACAGAATGCTCTGTGTAACATGTAGCTAAGACCCGAGAACCCAAAATGAAAAAGAAGAAAACAGAAACTTTAGTAGCAATAGGTATATAGTGAAAAGAGGTCAAGAGGTTGGGAACTGTTAATCTGGCTCTTAGAAATCTCAGTACTATTCCACAGCCCACCTACCCAGACCACCGTACTTGGTTCACCTACAAAATCAAATAACAGGCTGCCCTAACGACATTGATGAACAGAGATCTACCCGTTTCCAGAGTTACAAAATTGGCTTTTCTTAGAGCTGGGAATTTAATTATGTAGATTAGCCTCACAGAATATTTGTCTCCATTCATCTTGTTTGACTGTTACCCCTTGTGATAGGTGCAGTAGCAGCAAATTTAATATTCATAGCAATTAATTTTGTTGTTCAAATATTCATAGAGCCATCCCCACTGGCACAGCACACCAAAGGAAAATCAACTGTCTAGAGTGAAAGAAAAATTTGGTCATTTCTTATTTTCAATTCACTCTTAAAATTAGTAAATGACATTCTGGTAACCCTGAAAAAACTGTACACATTTCATTTTCCTTACCCTGCCTCGTGATTGATCAAGTAGGGGAGCCCAAGTATGTAAAGAAAAAGCTATGAAATATTCTAACCTAACTTTTAGGGTATGGAGGTCTTCCCAAGAAAAGGAATCCCTTGCACCCAGAGGAAATCCATGTAGCTCCACCCTTCCACTCAGAGGCAGCTCCCGCAGGGAGAGCCGGAGACTGTCCAGTGCGGTGTCCGCGTCAGAAACCAGAATGTGCTGTGTGCTGATGACACACAGATCTCCTTCTGCCACTCTCAGGTGGCTGGTGAGGACCTGGAGAAGAGGGAGAGAAGAGTCAAAGACTCGCTCTACTCTGAGGAGCCATGGACACAGAACTCATGCATTGCTAGAAACCTTTCAATACCATCTCCACACATCAATTAATTGGTTCCAGTACATGGTAGAGAGAGAAATTCACAGCTACAAAATTTGGCCAAAAGTTTTTACTAAATATCTCCAATTCTAAGCATTAATGTATACAAAGAAGTAAAGCAGATCCAGAAAAGTGAAAGGTTCTATAGTTCATTTCTCTCAGAGCCTGTACAGAATTAGTAATCAAATTGGTAACTACCTGCAATGACAAACTGAGGGAATAACGACTTCTCTCGTCTCATCTGTCTCCATCACTGTTTAACACACACATACGTTAGCCTACAACATAAACAAAACTATCCCAAAGTCTCCGGGAATAAAAGGAACTATGTCTTCTCCTTTAAAAAACAAAAACAATAACAAAAAAAACCCTAAACAATCTTAAACACCGAGTTTCAATTGTGGTATTTGGAGATGGAACTAGACTAGGGAAATTGAAGACTAGACATTCAAGATTAAACAGGAAATAAATTTTTGGGTGTGTGTGTGTGTGTTTGTGTGTGTGTGTAACGGGGATTGAACTCGGGTCCTTGTGCTTGCAAAGCAGGCACTGGAACCACTGAGCTAAGTCCCCAGCCTAAACAGGAAATAAATTTAGTCAGACACTAGACTGAAATATTAAAAACATAAGGACAACAACAGGAAAATCCAGTTTTTAATCTCAGAATTCATTTGTAGGTCAAAAACAAATTAGAGTGCTTTGGACTATTTTGTCACCACACTGGAAGTGGGCAATAAGTTTTCTATGATCAAATAAGTCTAAAACACAGTTATATACAACATCCTCATGTTGGAGATTTATACGGCACAGATGCATATTCAAGGCTGTGAGATTTTTCATAGGAAAATCCGTTAACTTTGTGTAGCATTTTCCCAAATCCGTACAACTCTGCAGAAGTCACAGCAAGAGGGGCACCAAGGCACAAGCTCGGAGGGTCTGGGACGAGCACCCTGCCCACGTGAGGACACCACGTTCCTCTCCTAGGAAGCATCTGCTCTCCTGAGAGCAGCTGCCAGTCCCAGAAAGGAGAATGCCTGGGGGGAGGAGTTGGTGAAAGGGACCACGGAGGCAGGAGTAATAACCCACAGGCAGGGGGAGGGAAGGAAGCCAGCTGAGGCTGCAGCCTCCACTCAGGAGTCCACTCGCTCCTGGGGCCCACAGGGCACAGTGTGGGTAGAGCAGCCGCCCACAGCTACAAGTCCCACTGAAACGAGAGGGCAATTCTGGGGCAATTGCCTTCTGTCCTCCAATAAGCTATGGCCAAACAGCGAAAACCAAAACGATAGACTTGGCTTCCCACCATCACTCCCACCTCACCCCTACGCAAGTATCTCCTCTGTAGGTGGGAGGAGGAAGGGGACAGAGCTTGTGTTCAGAGCGGAGTGCAGACCAAGGTCCACATTTGCCAGCATTGTTTTCTGGAGCGACACCAAATTAGCCCCAAGATGGGGCTTCCACCAAATATTCTTTACTACATTCAATGATTGTTAAAATATCATTTTTGGGCAACTTGCGAACAACAGAAAGCATAAGTATTGCTTGGCCCCACTTACTAATCATTAACTCTCCCACCCTGGGCTCCGGTCCACAGGAGTGCAGGTAAGCGCACCAAACAAAATCCCATGTAGCCACCGCTCAGCCCAGCTCTCTGTGCGTATTCACCGCTCCTGTGGCTGGTTTCATGGAAGCTACTGATTTAAATTTTACATCTAACATTTTTGGTTCTTTAAAGTACTGTTTCATTTGCCCTGCACTGTAAATAAAAGACAGGAGCCATTATGCAGTCTTAGCCCCATGTCTTCTCAACTGTTCCATCCACCTTCATGTGAAGTTAACTATTCCCTTCACCCTTTGTAGTTCCTTGCCAGAGCACCCTTTTCTAGCAAGAGGCTTGGACTCCTTTGCATAAAATTTTCTCCATGGTTGTTCTGGAAAGAGCTTTGACTTCTTTAGATGCTAGGCTATTTCATGGTCTGAATCTCATGCACAGAAAAGAGTGGCCTGACTAAAATATCATCTGATTAACGCCACACATATCTTAATCCACTTCACTACAGGGAACACAACCTACTCTCTACTGGGAACACTGTCAGGGAATGAGCTAATTTAGATTCCTTGGTGTGAGCTCCCTGGAGTATCTTCCACCAGAGTTTACTCGCTCACTAGCATGAGGGATCAGGTGGGTGAAACAAATGAGTGTGGTGAGCCGTGGGGACTTTGGCGGTCAGGGAGCCCCTCCACCTCACAGCTCCATGAGCTACATGGGCTCAGTGTTGCTAGCATTTCCACATTTTCAAGAGAACCCAAAGTCAGACTCGATAGGAAATCTCTTGAACCTTAAACAATGACAATTTGTTATTTTACAATATTGTTTAGATCCATCAGACCACTTCTGCATGCTGAGTAAGCCCCTGAGGCCCTAGATAAGCTCTGTTCCACAATCTTAGGCAGGTGCAAGGATGGTGGCAAATGACCAGGAAAGAGAACAGGGCTGGCTATATTTCAGGAAGGTACCTGGAGAAGGTGACCTTGTTTCTCAGGATGAGAGAACTTTTTGGCTTATAAGGGATGGGAACTTTTCCTGTGTCTTTACATTTCTGAGGGGAAATGGGACCATCTATTGTCAACTAATCAAATGTAGCACTCTGAGAGGGGAGGAATGATAGCATATGGAACAGACTCAGTGTGAACCTCGGCCTCACAGAGAAGATCCACAGCTACTATCTATTGTCTTTAGAGTTTGGTTTTAATGAAAGACCCAAGCTCTTTAAGATTTACATAAGCACTGAGGAGCAGAACAGGGAAGAGCAAAAGCATCCATCTTAACTCATTTTGGAAATTACAGAGTTGCTTTGGATTATACAGCAGCATGGTTGGCCAGTGCTGAGAGCAAATAAGACCTTCTGGTTGCTAAGAGACCCCTAATTTAATTCTCTTTCTCTGATCAACATGTGAAACTCAGCAGAAAGAAAAGGAAATGAAAGAGATTTTGATAAAGCTTTGAAAACAATGCCAAATTCAGAAACTGGAAAAATCTCACTTTTTAGCTAGAAAGTCTCATGAGGTGAAGAAATCCTCTTCCCCAATTTTTTTTTTCTACACAGCAGCTGGAAAATTTAAAAAGTGAGTCCTCTCCCGCCCTTTGAATCTTCCATACCAAGAATTGTACACACCTTGGGAATCTGATTGTCCACTGGGAGAATCGTAATATTAAAACAGATCCCGAGCAAAGTGCCACCGTGTTGGTTACTGACGGAAAATCGGAACTGGACCTGTTGAAGGTGGGGGCCTACATCTTCCATGGGTGGCATGTAGGCTACTTTCAAATAGTTCACAGCACGCTGCAAAGAGAGTAAAATGGGACATGTGAGTGTTGATTTGCAAAGACCAGACACTTTTGGAGACCTAGGTCCAAGAGAACCACCATCTTAAATGATAATAAACACTGGAAATGCCACTGTAGTCAATTTAAAGATTTCCAAAGATCTATTTTATGAATCACATATTCTACTTACAAGGAGGTAAATGGATAAAGAAATTAAGCATGTCACCAGCCAAAGATGCGCATACACCTGTAATCCCAGCAGGAGATTCCAAGTTCAAGCCCAGCCTAAGCAACCTAGCAACTTCATGAGACCCTGTCTTAAAACATTTAAAAAGGGTTCTCAGTACAAAATCCCCAGGTTGAATACTCAGAATTGCAAAGCGAGAAAAAAAACTAAGCATGTCAGCGCTTGACAACAGCCAACTCTATAAAAGACGGGAGACTTATATTTCCACCCAGTTCCACCATACAGTAGCTGAGTGATACTGGTAAGCTGCTTAACCTTGTTAGGCAGTGAACAAAATAATGGACATTATTTTAAACAAAATAATGGTCATTATCACTTGGGAGGGACGTGCTCATTTACAATCTCTAACTACACAGAACTAAGCATACTTAGCCCCAAGTACTTGTCACCACTGCTGCCTGAGCACTTGTCACCATTACTGGGGCTTCCACCCAGTCTGCGAAGTAGAGTGCACAGGAGTAGGCAGAGAGAGAGTGAAGGATTGCGGAAGGTAGTAAATGTGCTAAACTGTGTTTCCCACAAAAGACATGCTGAAGTCCTCACCCTTAGTACCTAAGAACGCGGGCTTGTTTGGAAATAGGGTCATTACATACGCAACTGGCTAAGGTGATGTCACATGGGGCAAGTTGGCCCCTAATCCAACGTAGTAATCAGTGTTCTTTTAACAGGAGGAGAGAGACACCAAGGAAGACAACTGCCAAGGGATACACAGCCACACTACTCCTGTGTATGCACCAGCCATGGAATGCAAAAGATCGCTGGTAAACACCCGGAAGCCGAAAAGAAGCAAAGGAGTTGCCCTACCGGGTCTCAAAAGGAGCACAACCCTGCAATCCTGATTTCAGACTTCCAGCTTCCAGAACCATGAGAAAATAAGTCTCACACTGGCAATCCTAGGAAATACTGCAGATAACTGAATGAGCTGAATTTAGTGAAATAAAAACACAAGCATGGAGGCTCCAGAGTCCTGCTGCTGGTAAAACAATGTAAAAAGCTGTGTTGAATTACAACAAGATTTTGAAATTTTATCCAACTTAATAAAACACTTTCAAATAGATGCCACATCCCTTCTGGAAATGTGCAAGCACAAAGAATAAAGACATCGAGCTCTTATGGCAGATATCAATGCCAGCATTCTCAGGGGTCACACTAGCCCTATCTTCTCAGAGAATATTTACACTGTGTTTGTCAATATTTTAGCAGACCGTACCTGAGTAAATGACCTCAGTCCCAAGGCTGCAGGATTTTTTGTTAGCTTTGGTATGCTGTCCACCATGAATAGCTTCCCAGCGTCCAAATGTCTAAAGAGAAATACAGGAGAATACATCAGCTAATTTCCTGGCTAAGAAAAATTAAATCAAATAGCCCATAACCAAAACTGCAAAACGTAAAAGAGCTCATGATGACAAGAAATCTGATATTCCATCCTTATATTCTCTTTTGATGCTGGGGGCTCCTAGTAGTGCTCAGTATCAACGCCATCCTCATTGTGACTACAAAGCGTAAAGTCCAGAATTTCTGTTGTCATGAAAGGAAATCATAGTCTTAAGAGTGTTTCCTTGTTACTCTGTGCGTGAGACTGGTCTGAGGCTGAGTCACTCAGCCTTTCTGGAATGAGATCAGACAATAGGGTCATGCTGTGTTTTATAAGATCTAAAAATAATGTTATGAAGACCACTGTAAATTTTACTAAAAATAAGCATCTTCTTTTTAAAAAATGAGAATTAAAACTGTTTTTAGCCTACCTATGTTGAAAACATTATAAACTACAGATCACTAATTAACACAGCTTTGAAAGACAGTATGAGAAAATGTGAGATGAAAGTAAAGACTGAACTGTGTCCAAGTCTATGTTTGGCCACTGAAGCAATCAAATTGTAGGGTACTGACACTTCTGACGCTCCAGTCCTTGAGCTAATAGATTACATGATGACTTTTTAGATACCTGTGGCTGAAAGTGAAAAATGGAGGGGTTGTTATTGTGTAGAGCAGCTCCCCATAGGATTCTGTGTCTAGGAAATGTAGATGTTTCTTAGTTATGTAGGCCACCTCTGTTTCCTTGACAACCAAATGCCGAGAAACTCCGGGAGCCTCCTGTGGGAGCTGGTCATCCACAGGAGTGACATGGATCATTACTACCTGGAATAAAAATACCTGTGTAATTCACTTCAAATGCCAAGAAATCACCAACGATGAAGCCTTATAATCACCCCATTAGCATTACTATAATTTTCAAAACCTGTCATCTATATCACCCTCTGTCAAATGATTCAGGAGCTATTAAGACTGTTACTTAAAAATGGAATGTCCTTCACACACTGGGTATCATATTTTAAGAATACAATTACCACAATTATAGTTAATCCAGTCAACAGCCAACAGTGGGAAAACAACGTACTTTGCATGTTCCCAATTTTATTTTTCCATTTCCCTCCTACCAACTGCAGTGCTTGTATACTTTCCTCTATTCGATCATCAATCCTAGATACCTTGATGTAACTCCTGGTTCCTCCTCTTCCGCTCACCTATAACCACCACCAAGTTTCTACCTGTAAAGTCCCCTACACAGAAACGACATCAGCCTTCAGTGTCATTCCCACTGCTCCTGGTCTAGCTCTCATACCTTCTTCCTTACACCATTACAACAGCTTCCTGTGAACTCTAACTCCAACTGCTAATCTAGACTTTCTATACCTCTAAAAAGTACAAATCGAGTTAACTGGCCTCCTCAAAAATCTTAACCACCCAGAAAGTACAGAATTACTCCAACTCCTCAGTATGAAATCCAAGAACCTTCAGACTGTAGACTTGCTCTGTGTGCCAACTTTATTTTGTACTCTATTTCAACATGAATCCAACACCCCAGTTGTTGTCGACCTCAAGGGTGCCCCTATACTTTGAATCATGTTGTTTGCTCAATCTAGAGTGCTCTTCTCTTTGCTTTCTCTAAAGGTCCTTCTCACACTTAAAGGCTCTTCTTCAAACATCCCCCAATTACTCTGCTAAAACTGTTTCTGAATGTTGCTTATTCCTTGCTGCGGTTTGAATATTTGTGCCGCCTCCAAGACTCATGTTGAAGCTTAAGCCCCCATGCAAAGTAGTAAGTAGTGGGGCTTTCAAATGGCAACTTATGCCTTATAAAAGGGATGGGGGGAGCTTGTCCTTGCGTCCTTCTGCCTTGAGAGGGCACAGAGCTCACTGCCTCCAGGTTGCCATCCTGGAAGCAGACAGCAGTCCTCACCAGACACCAATACCACGGGTGCCTCTAGCCTGGACATTCCAGTCTCCAGAACCATGAGAAGTAAGTGTCTCTTGGTTATAAGTTACCCCTCCTCAGGCATTATGCTAAAATAGTATGAATGGAATAAGCCATTTCTTGAATCACATACTTATTTCATTGTCTTGCCTCAGTTTACCTGTCGATCCATGAGAACAGGAGTAAACTGTAAACCATGTGTAATTTGAGAGTAAACAGTTAAAATCTTGGAGTGTACCACTTATATACTAGAATCTATTTGACCTTGAACAAGTTACTCAATTTCTTTGGTGTCATTTTTCATTTGCAAGTTAAGCATAATATTAGCAATCTCAAAGAAGCCAATAAAAATCAAATATTACTATGTAGATAAAATGTCTGGCATTTCATCATGGTTGCTGTCTGAATAAGCCCAGAAGTCCTATTTGTGATTTTCAGCAGGTTTGGATCGCAGTCCACTAAAAGGAGGATCAGCCAAACAGCTTTTATCACCACATTTCTTTTCCCAGAGCAACTCGTAACTGATGACAAGGAAGCTAGTACTCCCTCTCTGGAAATGGCACATCGCTTGGCATCATGGGTCTGCCGCACGGAAGTATTCCTAGACTGGTTTTGATTTACTTTGCTGTTGTCACCAAGGCAAAGATCATTAATGGCAATTTTGTCTACAATAGTGTCCACCCAACTTGAAAATGAAGAGAATTCCTTTTCAAATTGACATACAAAACAGAAACTAATACTAAGCTTTTGCTACAATATTAAAAAATTAAACATCAGCTCACCAACCTATAAGCTGCGCCCCCTGGGGAAAATAATTTAATACCTTTGGGACTCAGCTTTTTTCCTTTTTTGGACATTAGACATAATGGCAATGGCTACTATCATGTGATATTATAATATTGTCATGACCAAACAAGACAGATAGCAGCAAACTGAGTATCTAATGTTTGTAGGTGGTAGGTAAATTAAATCCTTGTCTTTATCCTTTCATTACTTTTACAAAAGCATGCTTACTACCCGTTATGAAGCATTTCAATAATTAAAAATTAAAGCTAGTTATCAAAATAAAGAAACACAGTAACAGTCATTTTTCTAGTCTCTGAGAATCTGTGTCATGCTTTTTTTTTTTCCATTTATAGTATTTTGCTAATCTACGAAGTTCAGAATTCTCCATGGGGCCTCCCAGCTACAGCGTGGATCAGTGCGCCTCTACTTAATTGAAAAACTGGATTTAATAAGGAAACAATAGTTATTGTACCTTCAAAAGAGACCATTTTCCATGCTAATTTATTCTCCAATGTGTTCTTTATGTAAAAAGAATATACAAGCACGCTTTTTTTATCCTCCTGTTGTAATTCTTGGTGGGCACATTTTTCAACATGTTTTATGATTGCCTTAGTTGATGTGTCTTTACATATTTATGCATGTTCAAACAATTATTTTGTGTATGTCTATAGATGAGAAAAATCCTACTTTAACAAATTCCACAGAGAAATACAGCATTCTCGCTGTACTGAAACGTGGTTATAACAAAGACATTGAACATACCTTCCCAGGCAAAGAGGGAAATATTAGAGCCAGGGCCAATTCCTGGGCTCTTCCCTCTATGATTCCCCTAGAGGTCCCCCAAGCTGCTTATGGCCATGAGCACACACAAACACACTTCAAAGGATCAGAACATAAAATGAGGAATCAGTGTACCAAATGATATCCAGGCTTGACCCCCAGACTTAGGCTTCATCAGCTGGGACCTGACTTGCTTGTGGGCCTGAATTCTTGACCCTTTCCCAGCCCTGAGCTCTGATTCCTGCCTGCTCTTCATTTTGCTTCTTCCTTTGAAAATATCCCCTACTGGGGCTGGGGATTTAGCTCAGTGGTGCCTCTGCCTGCCTTGCAAGCACAAGGTCCTGAGTTTGATCTCTGGTATCTTCCCACCCCCAAAACAAAAAGAAAGAAGAAAAGAAAACATCCACTATTATTTTTATATCCACAAGAACTACTTCCAATGTTAGTTTTTCCCAGCATACTAGGTACAGTAGTTTAAGATGATAAACTCACTGTATTTTGGACAAGACAACCTAAAATGCTGCTTAGAGAAATACCCAGATGCCGGATACAGGGCTAAGTTGATACACAAATCTGAGCTAGAGAAATGAAGTCATTTCCTGGAATCAATGGGAATAAGCCCTAGGATCTCTCGTGGACATGAGATCTAGTGGAGCTCAAGTTCCTCGTACAAGGCAGTGTAATATTTGCCTATACCTATGTACGCCCTCCTGCACACTTTAGATCATCTCTGATTGTTTTACAATATCTAACACGATGTAAATGTTATGTAAATAGTGGTCACACAATACTGTTTCCAAAATAATGACAGGAAAAATAGTCTACATGGCTTCAGTTCTAATATTCTCTAGCATGCGTGCAGGACCCACAGATACTGGGGACTGACCCTAGTTAGGAGCCAGAGGAGTGCTTGACACTGGAAAGCACAGTTCACCCCATCTCTCCCTCTCTCCCCCTCTCTCCAACCAAACATTAAAAAGGTGGAAGTAGAGAAAATGTGATTATGGCTTCTTTAAAATCCACTATAGAGAATAAATTTATAACCAGATCTACAGAGTTTAGTCTGATGTATTTGCCCAAGTTTAGAAATAATCTTCCCTCCACAGTGTTAATTACTTCTGTCTTTACTATACAGAGAGCTGGCATCTGTATTTGTGTGTATAAAAAACAAAACATAAAAAATACATATACGACAACACGACAACAAAAGAAGAAAAAATAAGTCCTGAAATTCCCCCCTTTAAAAGGTGTCTGTTAAAAGTGATACGGTAATCTGGAAATATAGCTCAGGTTGAACAGGTGCCTAGATGATTTAGAAATAAATCCTACTAATACTTCCCATTTTGAATTATCAAGCCAACTAAGGTTTCAAGAAAAATTTAATCCAGAAATGGTATGTTGAAGACAGGATTGGGGTGGAGGTGTTATCTGAAAAGAAGTCCACTTCTTCGTCAAAAGGCAGATAAATTCAGAGTTTCCTTTCATTCTCCACGCTGTCTTAAAAGGGATCACCAACTCCTTCAGCTCCTGAACTCATATCATTCTTTCTGATCAAGCCCTCTATGTCAGTCAGCTTTCCTACTGCTGAACATAACACTTGACACTCACAACTTAAAGAAGAGGTTCGATTTGCTCATGGTTTCAGTCCATGATCAGCTGGCACCAAGGCAGAGACAGCATGGTGCAACAGAACTGCTCAGCTGATGGTAGGCAGGAAGCAGACCAGGAAGGAACAGGCTGGGGACCAGATATGGTACCAAAGCTATGCAGCCACGACCCACCCAGATACCAAGGAGCACGTGCGGCCAGTCTGCGAGGTGTTTCCTGCTCCAGTGGAGCTGGCGTGTCAGGATTAATGGTCACACCTTCCGTTTAGTTCAATCATCTGTGCTCATGACTGTGATGTTGACATTATAAAAGGATAAACGATGAACAGGACACATGCTCCACACACTGTAGTCCTTCTAGAACAGGTGTGAAGCTGTTGCATTCATATACATGTGACTTTCCAAGATGACAGGTATAAAATATCTGGCAAAATAATGTACATAGTAGGTGATCACTTAATTTCAGCTACCTACTTAAAAACCCTTAGTAATATCCTCTTTTTGCCAGGAGGCCTCCCTCCTATAGTTGTCCAGAAACTATATTCTATTTTCCGGTACTTTCTATATGACAAAGTTTTCTTGAGCTTATTTCTGCTTACCATATCCTGTAGTGATAGTAAAACTCTTAGATCTTCAAGTACAACATTAAGAGAAAATTTATTTATTGTGCATTTACCATGGACTAGAAAGTTCAATGCTCTCTAAGTATTGTGACACTTACCTTCATAGTAACTCCGTGAGAAAGGTTCTCTTACTACCTGTTCTACAGGGAAAGAAAGAAGGGTGCAAGTTGACTGGTTAGAATCAAGATCAAGAAGAAAACTCAGGCACTCTTACTCTAGAGCTTCCACTTTAGTGGCTACTTATAAAGTAAGTGCTTCTCTTGAGTGCTAGAAAGCAATCAAATTGTGTGGGATGTCCTATAAAAGTCTTGTGGTTAAATAACCTTAAAAACACAAAAATTCACAGCACTTTTTAGCTGTAATAGCTCCCAGACCTGATATCTGTTTGTGAGACTATGGAGAAATGTTCAGAAATAATCTCTTACCTGTGGCACTGAAAGATTTGGAGGTTCATGGCTATCCCACATGACAAATTCAAAAGAATCTTCAAAAATTTCTCCACCGAAGTGACGATAGTAAATGATCCCATTAAGTAAATCCCTCTGAAGGAAGCCAGGGACAGGATAGCCTATTGGGTCCACAAAATACCACCTTTTAGTTTATACTGAACTGACTGACAAAAGCTTTCTGTGATTAGTTTGTCTGTGACCAAGGAATCTGCCTTAAATGTTTTACACAAAAACATTTATAATTAATAAACCAGAAAGATTAATATTGCTAGTAGCCTCTGTCTTAATAATGTAGAAAAATTAGATTTGGGAAATGTTTCCTAGAGACATCTTATTTTAAATATGTGATATACCACTATCTACTTATTTGGTTTCTATTTTATCAAACTCCTGACCTACCTATTTTAAGAAGTAGTCATGAAATTATTCTACCAAAAGGTAAACAAATGACAAATGAAACTGCTATGTCAGCCATCTAAAATAAGTCAAATATCAATCTTCAGACTTATTTGTTCTACCATCTTATAGGCAAATTTAAGTTTTCACTGCCTCAGCAAGCTCAAGGACCCAAATTTGATGCTGGTATCAAAAAAAAAAAAAGCAAATTTAAGTTTTCACAGTGTAGCGATTACCTTGAGGATCAGCTCTAGAACTTCCTGGATGTACAACCTCAGACAGACTAACTTAACTTATCTGAATCTCAGGCTTTCCACCTATCAAAGGAGAAGAATAGTATCTTATTTCCTAACTGTGCTGTCCACCTTGGCACAAATCCTGTCACAATTTCAGCCAACTCACAGTTGCATAGAAAGTTCTCAGTGGAAGAATCCATTCCATTTGAGCATTTGTAACTGCCTGGAACGTACCTATCAGCCCCGGCCCTGGCTTCTTCATGATCTCTCCAGCCTGCGGGGGTCTTGTGATATTAAAGAAGATGTAGTCATCACTGGAGTCCATGTCTGCGGCTCTCAGCATGGACCCCTGGATCAGGATGGTCTGCCCTTCCTCTAATTCAACCACAACATTGGTTATGAGGAATGGGGGGCTGTCATCTTTGGGCAAAATGTTGATAGGAAACTTGTGATGGATGCTATGATATCCATCAAATATCCTGAAGGCCACAACCTCTCCCTCCCGCAGAAGCTACACAGGTGCTCCCTGCCATACAATGGGACTTGGGCAGAAAGAGCCACCATCCACTGAAAATGTCACTACTCAAAAATGCATTTAATAGCCCTGACAAGCTCCTCATAAAGTCAAAAAACCATAAACTGCCTACAGATTGGGACCTCACAGCTCTGGTTTTGAATACTGGCTCCACTACTTTCCAGTGCAGACTGAGGCAAGGTATTTCTCAGAGACTCGTCTGTAAAACTGGAATAGCCATACTGTGATAGTTAAATTTATATGCCAATTTAACTGGCTTACTCCCTGGTGTCATAAATAAATAAATAATAAAAACATTATTTCTGCATGGTTCTAAGGACAGCATTTGAATCAGCAGACTGAGTGAAGAAAGTATCCTCACCTATCTGTTGAGGGCCACAGAGGACAAAGACACAGAGAAAGCATGGACTCTCTCTTGATTCGGAACATCCATCTTTCCCCTCAGACATCGCAGTTCCTGGTTCCCGGGACCATGAACTCTGCAGCTCACACCAGCACCCAACCTCAGCCAGCGCCTTGCTCCTCACACCTCTGGCCTAGAAATGGGAGTTACACAACAGCCGCCCTGTTCTCCGGCCTTGGTCTGGGGTGGAATTACTCCATGAGTTTTTCTAGTTCTCCAAAGTATCATGAGACTTCTCAGTCTCTGTAATTTCATAATAATAAAGCCCCTCATGTACATTTGTTTATATCCTGTTTGCTTTATTCATTTAACTAATACAAAGACCTATCAATATTCCGTAGCAAAGAGGAAGGAACTTGAATAAGAGCAAGCCAACGAAAAACACTGATTAGTCTCCAATCATCCCTCATGACAAAGACCTCAGGGGAGTGATCTTGCATGGGCCTCATCGACCCTCTTTGGGAAGCTGTTAGGAAGGAAAGCTGTCAGGCCCTGCCCCAGACCGACTGAGTCAGAAACGCTCTTTCAAGCCTTTCAGGAGGGTCTAATGCACACTAATGCTTGAGAGTCACTGGCTTAAGGGCCAAGAACTAGAGCTCTGAAATAAAACAGACTGGTTCGAATCCCAGTTCTGCCACTTTCCAGGTGTATGACTTAAGCAAGTCAGCTCCTCTGAGTCTCAGATTCCCTACTTGTAAAATAGGAATAGTAACAGCATCTTGATTCATCAAGCCGAAATGAGAGGAATGAGATATATGATAGGCAGTGTCACACAAAGTAAACGGTTAATTAACAGTAGCCCCGTTTTTTCGCCTCTCCTAATCCCAGAAGAGCATTGTGTTATAGCTACCATTCTCACTTCCATTTCAGTAGGATTAATAAGCAATGCTTCAAGTTTTGATCCAAGTGTTATAGTTCTTGACGGCAGGGGCACCCTATTACTCTCCTCACACCACGTAGCTCCGTGAAAGAACTCAGAAGAATAAATGATTAAACACTTGTGTAACAGGCACTGCTATTTTCGGGTCCGATAGCTACTTCTACTTCCTCCCCCATAGAACACTGGTTATATTTGGCCTGTCACTGTAACCAGTTACACGCACTCCAGTTCCCAGAGTCCACTGGGCAAAAAGGGGCTCTAAACGAGGTAAGCAGACGTAAGTGGAAGTCATTGTACTGGGCAACTTTTTTCATTGTCCCATTTATCTCTTTCCATCTTAAAGAAATTAAAAAGTAACTTTAATGAAGCCACCAGAGTGGACTGCTTTTACATGCAACTGAACATGTATCCTAATTGGCAAACACCAGTTTAAACTGGCTTCCCACCATCCTGGAATTGAGCAGGAGAATTTATCGTGATTTCTCTTTTTAAATTTTTAATTGCTTGTCAAAGTGAAGATAAACAAGAGTTCTCTTTTCACTTTATAGTTAGACAAACTAAGAGGATAACTGAGTTACTCTGTTACAAAGAACAGATTATTTTATCATTACGTATGAAGATTATATTTCGGTAACTATCACTCATATAATTATAATTATAAATTCATTTCATTTAAACTATGGCAACAAATAATATCATAACACTGTTATCACTGAAGTATTAAAAAAAGTTTTTCTATTTTAAATATGTTCCATGAAACCAAGAAACCAGAGGGAAATATTTTGTTTTCCAAGGAAAAAAGATAATCAGTTAAGGAGCATATCTAGAAGAAGCCCTACATGGCATCCAGAAAGCAAAACTGTGCCAAGTATGAGACACTGTTCACAAAAGGTTACACATCGACTTGAGCATCCTTCACAAAACCAGACAATTTCAAGATCTTTAAATTTTCTGCATATGACAATTGCATTTGGAAATCAGGCCCAAGAAATACTATACATATCCTGTTGAATAAACTTTGCTCTTGAAGAAAATCCTCCTTGGGTTCTCTTTAGGTTGCACAGGTAGATCATTCACCTTTCACTGTAAGCCGTCCGTGCTGCAGGCCGCCAATGGTGACCAGCTGGACGGCACCAATGTTATCATTGTCAACAATCTGGAACTGTTCCCAAGTGATGGCCCGAGACTGGCCCTCCAGGAGATTCAGACCTACGTGAGCAAGCAGAGGAGCGTCATGCAAAGTTGTACGGCATCCAACACAGCCTGAGGAAAAGATTGGTAAATGTTCACTCATGAAACTCTCTGAAAGCTGTTTCTTCAGATGCTTTTCAAGAAACTTGAATGTAGCTTGTGATTTTAGTAATAATTTTATTTTAGTACTATCGCTTCTAAATAATCTGACAACTTGACAGTTACAATACAACTTTAAAAAGCAAATTAAACACTGAAGGGAAGAACAGATGTTATGTCCAAAGTGGTCTCTGCTTCAAAAAGGTTCACAGTGGGTTTTTCAGCAACTACATCCATATATTTTAAGTGAAAAGAGAGTCATGAAGCGCTTTTTACATAGAATTTATGAAAGCACACATAGCTAACAGGACAGAAAATGTAATGTAGCTCAATATACTTACCCAGAGCTATAGTTCTCAGGCATGTTTAACACTGTTAGATGTACTTGGTGTAGATTCCAATAAGAAACTAAGGTCTGTAACTAATGGTCTAAAGTAAAACCTTGTGCTTGAAATCTACATGCCAGAGGTATGAAGAATTTGTTTGTTTGTCATAGCAAGAGTACAGACTGGATTCTACGGTAAGGGTTGACATAGTGAGCTGTAGCATAATCTAACTTCATCACCAACAGAGCTGGGAACTGGCAAACTCTTCACCTTTTCCCCACCCAACCCCCATCTCCTCCCAGACACAATGGCTCCAACTCCACCCTGGAAATATCAGCACTACTGAATAATCCACTTTATTTGACTGCAAAGCTGTGACCAGCTTAGCCATCCCACCTGCTATAGTCTGATCTTGAATGTCCTCAAAGCTCCATTAAGTTAATGGCTTGGTTCCCAGGGTACACTGTTGGGAGGTGTTGGAACCTTTAAGAGCTGGGGCCCAGAGGGAGGTCTTTAGGTTGTTGGAAGTATAACCTTGAAGGAGATGGTGGGACCCTGGCCTCTTCATCTTCCACTCTTTTTGTTTCCTGGCCATGATGTGAGCAACTTTGCTCTGCCATCATACTCCCACTATGATATGCTGGTCTACCACAGGCCCAGAGCAAAGGCGCCAACCAATTATGGACTGAACCTCCAAAATTGTGAGTCAAAATATTCCTCTCTCCCTATAAATTGATTATCTCAGGTGTTTGTTATACTAATGGAAAGTGAACTACATAGTACCTTTTCATTTGCTTCTCCCTGTACTCTTCTTTTCACTATAGGGTTAGTACATATGATCTTCCTCACACTCTGTTTCAGGGAAACTGGGTTAAGACTTTCAATAAGTGAAAGAAAGAAACTTGAAAGCTGTTCTTTTGGCTGATCTCCTACCAAGGAAATAAGGTGACCTCAGAACACAACAAGGCTGAATTTATATATCTTAGCTTGCCACTAGGAAAAAAACAAAATAAAAACAAGCAGAAAAACTCTATCTAACGCCCTTAACCTATCTGTGTTTTACTTACCTCATTCGTAAAATGGGAATAACATCACGTTTCCTTCCTAACCCACCCTCTTTCTTACACTCCCAGCAGGCCTCCCACTGAGTCTCACCTGTATTCCAGGACACTCGTGGGGCATTGGTATCTGCTGTTCTGATGGAGATGTAGACCATGATGGGTGCGCTTCTCTCAAAGAAAAAGTCATACACCTCCAGCTCCACCTGGAAGTAAGCACGAGTGTGAACCACACACCAACGAGACGAAGGACCATTTACTCTCATTTCATACACATAGTTGGGGCAAAAATGAACTCAGGTTTCTACTGTTTCCAGATCTTTCTCTTTTTTGAATTTTAAATTTACTTCTATTTTTAAATAAATTTATTTTTGTAATACATTGAGATAATTTTACATATTATATAAATTATTCATTTTAAGTGCAGTTCTATGATTTTTACCAAGTTGTATAAACTTCACAAAAATAAGTTTAAGTCACTTCCATCGCACCCATAAAATCCTCACACTCATTACTGTTAATTCTCCTCGCCGCCTCCCTACCCAGATACCAATCATCTGCTTTCAATCTCTGTCCATTTGCCTTTTCTGGCAGTTTCATTTACATGAATCTTTATTCTGTGTCCAATTTTGCTAAGATATTTGTGCTGAAGTTTGGGGTATTTTTCCGTGAGAAGTGAATCTCTTTTGGATAGGTTATTTTATTCTTAGGTATTGTACTTGATTTTTAAATAACTGACCCACACTTGCTCATATTTGTGAGGGCCAGCATGGTATTTCAATTCACGCATATGTATGATGACCAGATTGGGGCAACTGGTATATGCAGCACCTCCAGTACTTATCATTCCCATGTTTGAAACATGCAAAGTCCTCTCCACCAGCTCTTCTGAAATATACACTTGAATGGCTGTAACCACACTCACTTTACTAGGCTGCAGAATGCCCCTTTATCCACCCGTCCGCTGTGCTCACCAGCCATCCTCTCCCCTTTCCAAACTCCTGGCAGTCACTATCCTGCGATCTGCGTGTATTTCTCACAACCTGCTCTCACTTTTTCAGACTCTAGACTCTGTTCCTCAGTTCAGTATATTTAATTTTCTTCTCCATAAAAGAATTTATTAATCTGAAATTGGCGAATATGGCAGAGTAGTGTCCCCTTGTTTGGTAGGATTGCTGTACTGTAATCTGAGACCACTCAGCTCTCTCAAGGGAGAGGCTTTGTACCAGTGCTCTCAAGAGCAATTCCGAGGGGTTTCTGGGACTGTTAGAGACATTTCTGGTTTCACAAAATGCCTGTTGGTGATGAGGGGGTAGAGGCCAGAGGTGCCAACACCCAGCCACTCAGAGGACAGCTCCCTGCACAAAGTATTACGTGCCCCAAACTAGGAATGGCGCTGAATTTAAGACACTCTCACGTAAAGGCATCTATCCCACTAGGTATTTTTTTCAAATATCTAGAATTTTTTTTTTGCCGTCATGAAATCTACAAATAATAAGTTGAGGCTACATGGTAAGATCTGAGCTTTAGCACATAAGTACAAGGCATACCGCCTACTTTTGAAGAATGTGGAGTCCTATTGAAAGGATAAGAGAAGCAGACCACCATGTATCTATAAATATTAAATAAGAAAAGAAACAGTCCAAAGTGCCAGAGTAGCAAACTAAAAATGAGCTTAATGGAGGCAGCAGATGCTTTTTGGGAGTTGTAATGTGAAATATGTATTAGGTTGGGCCACAGGCCCGGGTCTTTCCACCCATGTGCCTGAAAAGCACATAATCTCCACTGATAATATTAACAGTTACACACACACACATACAAATTACACATTTGCACAGGTTCTTCTTTAAAATTACATTTTACAACCCCAGAAAAATGCTCCCAGAAAACAGCCAAAATAGCAGTGCTTAATTGTGAGCTTAAGGTAACACTGGTCCTATAATGAGAAATTCCTTCATAACAGGGAAAAAGAAATAACAGAAGGAGAAAAAAACAGCTGCCATGTATATACTATTATAAAGAGAAAAAACTAAAGCAAAAGGTGAAGCGCAGCATTTCTAGCCAGAAGTCTTCTGACTGCCCTTGAGGCTAAATGCTGAAAATGTCTAAATTACACAAAGGACAGTTTGGTGACCCCAGGGACACTCGTGTTGCTTAATAAACCTAAACTCCAGTCTGTATCAATCTGCTAGCTTGAATTTTCCATCCTGTTCGAATCAACTTGCTGGTGGGTCTTTAGAGATGGAAAGTTATTATGTGCAGGCCTGTAACCAGCTGTTCTCCACTACCACTGAATGCAAAACAAGAGAAAAGAAGCCGGAACACTATGGAAAAAGGGATTTAGACCAGATCAAAGGAGGACTTCCTACTCAGAAAGTCTGACAGTGAAATTTGTTACCAGATGAGACCAGGGAATCTCCTGCCCCAACTTGGTGTCATTAATTAAATATTAAGTCCCCTCATAAAAAGCTCTTGCAAAAAAAAATATTTATTAATAAGAAATCATAACCAAGACCTGTCATGTAAAGGTACATGATCCCAATGATGAATGTAACTGTACTGCATACCTAAAATGTACCAATAAACTCAATGAGAAAAAAAAACAGAAATCATGAACAAATTCATCTCTCACATCAGCCGTCTATGTAATGCAAGAAGGTCGTCAAAGGACACCAGAGCTCCCAAACTAGAAAGACTGGGCCAAGGGTGGCCCGTCAAAATATTTAGTAGCTGGCACAATATATTTTATAATTTTAAATTATGGGTTTTTTATATTTAAAATTTGAAAAACAACTTTATCATGAAGGGTTTCCACGTTCCCTAGACAAGTGACAGCTACAGCAGCCCGGGCCATCTGAGTCCCCACGTGGCAGCTGCGTACTGCGCGCTGGCTCCTTCAGTGGCCACACAGCCGCCACGTCTGCTGATGTGCATCACCTACCTGGCTCTGCAGCCATCTAACTTGCATCCTGATTTACAGTGATTTTCTTCTGAGGCCACAAATCATACAAAGGAATCTGAACCTGAGGGTGAGTGAAAGTGGCCTCCTAAGTAACTGTAGCACCAACGAGGCTGGGCGCTTTGCCTCTCTTCTTTCTTACCTCATAATGTCTCCTCTCCGAGTGGCTGTTGTTCGGTGGCTGATAAGCAATCTGCATGTCACTGAGGTCTTTCCAGGTAAATGAGGAGACAGGTCGGGTGTGATCCAAGAGGTGAGTGACATAGCCCTGGAGTGGGGCTCTTGTGATGTTGAACACCAGCAAGGGTTTGGGGGTCTCATCCTCTTCACAGTCCAGAACAGATGGAGTCAGAGAGGTCAGGATGAACTGATCCACTTCCAGAATAAACAGGGACATGAATGCAGCCCTCGGACTCTGGTTCGGAATGCCAGCTCTGATGTGGACAGGCAACCACACACTCTCTGACTTTTGAAGGAGAAATAAAATATAAAGGAAGCTATCATATACAGGGTTAATGGCATGGCAATGTAATAAAGCTCCTGCCTAGCATGTAACCAGCTGTGACCTGAGGCCTGACTGCACATCAGAATCACCCAGGGAGCATCAAATACAGGACCCATCTCCAGAGATCTAACTGCTCCAACGAGGGGATAAGAAGAGTGGCATTTTTAGAACTCCCCAGAGACTCCAATATGCAGCCACAGTTAAGAAGGGGGCACCTATTTTGATATCAAAAAGAACTGTGGCTTGTGATCCTGACTCCAGCCCTTGTAATCTGTATGACTGCAGACAAGTTCTCTAACACCTATGTTTTATTTCTTCACATCTATAAATGGAAATTCCATACTCCCAAGCATTAAGGACTGAATGAACGCCAAAGCAAAGCAGTAGGCAGTGTCTGGCACAAACCAGCAGCCTCCTGTGGTCATCCTGCCCATCTCCTGCCGTGTGGCTTTAAAGGGGGAGGGAAGAATGAAGGGGGAAATGTCTTTATAACTCTATTCACACAACTGAAAGAGGGCCACTCAGTTGTCCAGTAGAGCAAGGACATTGCAAGTGAACCCTCAAGCTACAGATGCATCCTCCCAAAATAAGGAAACTATGAGTAAAAGTACTCCCAAAGAAACCATGCAATGGCTTCACGGAACCCAAGGGCTCAGTAAATGCCATGGGTGGGAAGAATCCCCATGGCACAGCGTCCCACTGTTGAGAGCACTAGGCTCAGTTATCAAAGCCGCATTCGTTTCATACTGCTGAACACTAGAAGCTAGACTAGGAGTGATCATCTGTATGTTTCAGAATGGTAAGAAAGGAATTCTTCTTGGCTCGGTCTCAATGGAAATTCCAAGAGGAGAGACAGGAGATTTCAAAGTGAATGCAACACAGATGCTGTATTTAAAATTTACATAGCAAATTGTCTTGAACCAGTTCCAGACACCAGAGCTTTCATCTGCTATCACAATGCAAAAATACTGAGAGAGGCAGGAGTAAAGAGGAGTCACTTCTGTGATTCCAACATCACACATCCCTGTGACGCAGAAAGGGTACTTCAATGCCATATTCCTTGTCTTGGGGGCCAGGAGAAAAGACTTATCGAGATCAACCTTAAAATATGTGTCACAAACAGAGCACACAAGCCAGGCATGGTGGTGCACACCTGTAATCCCAGCACTTGCGAGGCTGAGGCAGGAGGATCGCTGTGAGTTTGAGACCAGCCCATGCTACATAGTGAGTTCCAGGTCAGTCTCAACTACACAGTGAGACCCTGTCTCAAAAAACAAACAAACAGAGCACACAGAGGACTGGTTCTGGGCTCAGACCTGAGGCAACAAAGTGGCCAGAAGCAAAAGAAAAATGGTGGCTGTGCTGGAATCAACCTGTCTTGCTTGTAGCAGCAAAGGACACGTAAGTGCCCCCAAATACAGGACATGGTAGTCTTGGATCATCCTAGATCATGACCCTTAATGAGCACCCTTCAGAGGCCAAAAGTCAGCATCCTAGAGCTGAAGACAGAGATCATATCCTAGAGGCTGTGGGGAAATTGTAAGAGATTACTCAGGCTAGAAACCCATCCTCTCAGGACAAAAGAGCTGTGAGGGAGAGGCCCCTGTGACCCGGCTCTCTGGAGAAATTTCTCTCCAGAGAAATTGTTACAGAGTCAAAAAAAGCAGCTTGAAACACCTGCTGGGGCTCAGAGAGCATGAAATCATATTTCATCTGTGTCTGAGAAAGTAAAAGCCTTCTCTCCACGTTCCTCCAAAAATACCAGCCTGCAAGTTTAGAAACTAGCCAGCAAAGCTCAGAAGAGAGAAGTCCAAAGGAGAATCAAAGACTCCTCCTCCCACTGCAGAGCGACAAAGACGAATGGATGATACACGGAAACACCCCAGGGGCCAGGGTGTCTACACTTCTCCTGCCACTGGAAAGCTCTACTGGAGGGTGCACAATTTGAAAATTCAAGAAACAATAAATCATGATTTTAAAAGGAGTGATGCTGAACACTGACACTAATTGTGTCTAAGTCAGGACTTAATAAATGCTGTTTTAAATATGTCAATAAAATGGATACAAATGTCAAAAGATAATTAATATAAGACATAATAAGGTGTAACAACTGCATACTAGAACAGAACCTGCAAATCAAATAAATCAAGTGTGAAAAGGTAGGCATTTGCCAAGAGAATCAATCAGATCAACCAATCCACAGGGTATGCAGAAAGGTGCTGAGAGACCCCATTTCATGTTTAGACTTCAAGTTTTTCAAATTACAGATTAGAAGATTTTGTTTAATTTAAATAAGATGTAAAGTGAAAAAGAACTTTCAAATAAGTAAAGATAAATCAAAGAAAGAACAACCTATTTTAAGATGCTGTTTAAATATTTATTTATTCAATGTTGTGATGCTACAGACTGAACCCAGGACTCACACGTGCCAAGAAGACAAATTCTTTTAGTTAGCAAGAAAGCATGGAATAAAAAGATAGAAAACAACTGTGGGTGTCCATTATTACCACAAATATGGTTTATATTTCCTTATTCAGGACAAATATTTGGAAATTCAATGAAAATGTCCAATAACAAATATGTATCCAATAGGAAAAGCACTTAAAATTATGTAGAAAGATTAAAAGAATGATCTAATTTTATCATGTAAGAGAAAAAAACAGAGTGACTACAGTAATTTCAAATAAAGATGAACTCAAGGAAAAAAGCTTTAAAAAGGACAATATGGGCAGTTGCTATCTATAAACTATAAAAGATAATGATTCTCATAATCAACACTATATTTAATGCTATTCTGGTCAAACCCGTGGGGAATCAAAGCAAAAGCAGAAGAATAATTACAGAAAAAGAATGGACAAAATTATCATCATTAGTGAAAGATATAATTATGCTTCTTGAAAGCCCAAATAATTGAAAATTCCTTAAAATTACTGAACTCAGGAAAGAAGCCAGATAAAAGAAAACTGTACCAAAAATGGCTTTTCTATTTATCATTAATGACCAATGAGATGACATCACGGGGATGGGTATTCACAGTAGTTCCACAAAAACAAACTGCCCAGGACTAGATCTTAATAAGCAGGCTCAATTTACATGAAGGGAACTGTAATTTTACAGAAACATGTAAAATCATATTTACCCAGATGAAGTGATATACCTCATTTCTGGATGACATGGCGTAATATGGTAAACATTGTAATATTCCAACTCTTCCTCAAAGAACTTATCATTTAATCCAGGACAGATAAAAATCCTTAAGGGTTTTAAGAAAAAACTAATATAAATGATTTAATTATTTATCTAGAACTAAAAATAGGTGAGAAGAACTAAAACTTCTTAAAGAGGAGTGACATGAAAAAAGCTTGATATATTAGAGTGTGCCATAGAGGTATTATATTTAGAATAATGTAGGACCAGTACAAAAAAATACAGGAAAATTTAATGAACAAAAGAGCTAGTCTTGAAATAGTGTTCATTATATTTTTCTATACAATAGATCAACAAAAATCAATGAGAAACAAGTTAATTGTTCAACAAACAGCACTGAAAATTTGGCTACTGAGACAAAAAATTCTTTATATTTCACCATATAATAAAGTTTTTCAAGGGATTTAAAAAGATAATGTAAAGAGAATGACACTTGAAAAATGCAGAAGAAATTATAGGTGAATTTTCAGTTAGTCACTTGACGAGGATCAATTCCAAAGCTTAAAAATAACAAAAGGAAAAAGAACAAAACCTCACATACAGTGTAAATTCAATTTCACAAAATAAAACCCACTCCACTGTGCATGTGCCCCCTCCAGGTATGTCTGTGTATATAAAAATGGTAGCAATACAGCTAGTTTCATTTTCTTTTTATTTTACTATTTTTAAATATTCTCTTTAGTAAGCATATTATCTTCTTATTCTGAGTAAACCTGTTTTATGACATGCCAAATTGACTACTGAAAAGGTGAATATTAAATAAAGCAAGACAGTCATTTAAAGGGATAACCTTCCAATGAAAGAGATCTAAAAATATAAACAAAGCCCTAACTCAATAAAGAGGAAAAAAAATTTTAATCAGAAAGAAAAATGGCTCTCTCATTTTTTTCTTCAATAGAGATAAGAAATCTTTGAAAGTGAAAGGAGTCTGTGTCAAAAGAAACAAAATATTTACTAGGAGTCAGTAGTCCTAGAGTTTTGGTCCTGGCCCAGCCATAAAACAGCTATGAATATATGGGCAAGGTACATCATTTCTCTGAGCCACCACTGTGACACAAGAGGTTTGGGCTAAACCAACCATCTCCAAAACTGGCTGATCATAAGTATTTTATTCAGTGGCTTTTTAAACCAGCAAAGTCTTCATATGCTTAATAAGTGCCAGGCTGTGTGCCAAGCACTTGACTCACGTAGGTATTGTCTCAATGTCTCTTTAAATCCTTCCAATTACTCCAAGAAGTAGGTACTATAATCATCATTTCAAAATGAAGAAAATAAGACATAAAGTCCAAAGTCCTACAGCTACTTAGGGTGCTGTCTGAACCCAGGTGAACTGGACCCAGTGTTCATGCCCTAACCTACTGACACCAGACATAAGAATCTACCCTTTAAAATGCCCTCAGCTGATTTACCCCATCAGTCAGACTGAACCACCTCAAAGAGTTTTTTTCCTCCAGATCTTAAATCTAAAATCCCATGATCCTATTTAATCATGTCTTCTTTCCCTAAACAATCAACTTTTTTAGGTAATAATGTTCAGTATTTGACTAAGCCTCTTTGAAGAAATCCTAGTGGGAAGACAGACCATAAAAATGGAAGTCTTTCTAAATATCACCCTGGAACATCTTTACATTGGCACAAAATCTGAGCTGTTTCCACAGGTGCACTGCGGCCCCAGTTTCCCAAATAAACAAATTGCAGAGTGCACAAATCAGTAGAGTAGCAGGCTAAATATTTCCTAAAAGTTGACTCCACTTTCAGCCATTGTTTCAGCATGAAGAGATTAAGAGGACAAAGAGTGACAGAAATTCAAAGCTGTTCAACGACAGAGGAAGTGTTTGGGAGTCATCTCCGTGATGACCCTACCCTCCCTCCTGAAGTGGGAGAGAACACGGTATTATCTTCCACAACCATGAAAGTGGCACTGAGTACTCCTCCCTCCTACACTCCTGTGGCCTTGCACAGTGGACCCCGATGTCAAGGAGAAAGGAAGCATCAACGAGAAGTTGTTACCCAGAGTCAACCAACAGCTGATAAAGTGTTTGGGGAGGTGGTGTTGGGGGGTGCAGTTCAGTGGTAGAGTGTGTGCTTGGCACGCGCAAGGCCCTGGATTCAGTCACCAGAACCAAGAACTAAAAAAGTTCTGGAGGCAAAGAATGAAGACGGTGAACATGTAAATAGCCCCAGCCCCTTCCAAGTTGGGATGTACAGCTACAAGAGAAACAGAACAAATCTGTACTCATACAAAAGCTACTACTTTAAGTATTACTGATAGAATAAACAAGCCTGCAGTTCCATTGAGACATGGGGCCGCTCCACCCTCGTAGCACAGGACTTTTCCTGGCACAGAAGCCAGCATGAGCTCTCTCGTGGAGGTGGCTCTCTTCCCGTCAATCAGCTGGGGACTGACATATGCCAGACTCTACCTTGTAAAGCATTCTGCTCCTGCTGTCTGTGAGGTCCAGCTGGATGGAGATATAATCGATGTTGGGAGAAGGGGGGTGCATGTGTTGATAACGCAGCCCCATCAGCAGGAACTCCTCACAGCTCACTTTGAGACTTCCTATTTTCTTCAGTCCCAGGATACAGCTTCTGCCTGGACACTTCAGTTCTGTTTCCAGTTCTAGAAAGCAGTGTTGCATTAGGATTGCCATTTCAACACAACTATTGTTAAAGCTGAACAAAAGGCCTTCCTCCCATGGATGCTACTCCTTCTCACTGCCCAAGCACGCTCACAGAGCGAGTGGTTTGTCATTACACTGAAAGCTGATAATTTCCTTTACTGAAGAGCACAGCTGAGCCTGACCACAAAAGCTTGGAGATGAAAGATAATAAAACGTGTTTTCTGGTATGTGAGCACTGCGGACAAACGGGATGCTGACTCACTACAGGACTTCCCCAGTCCAGCTCCAATGCTCCCTTTAAAGCGTCGGCCTTGTAGCTCCATCACACAAAGTCCCGAGACAGTTCTCCTCACCCAGACCCTCCAAAACACTCTCAAATCCTGTGTATCTTTCTAGATCAGTGGGTCTCTTCCTAAACCCTTTCTGAAACATTCTGTCACCACTCAAAACAACCTTCTTTGTCTCACTGAAAGCCATAGTGACTGTCTATTTTGATCAGCTTTAGTAACATTCTGATAAGTATTAAAAGGTATCATACGGGACTCAGGAAGAAAAGTGTGCGGCTGATCTCCACGAGGCTCTTCAGGGCGAGGGTCCGCCATGACCATCTGGCCATGAGCTGGCAGATGAGTTCTCACAGGGTCCAGCTCTATGGTGCACTCCAGGCCAGTCGTCCTATCGTAATCAAACTGGAGCAGGTTCTTATCGATCACTTGGGACAGGCCGTAGAATTCAGACACCTCCAGCACACGGCTCCTCCGGATGACGCTACAGTCTGGTTCCAGGAGGTAGACCCGGAGGACAAAGGTTTCCATGAAGGTGTCTGTTTCGGTAAATCTGTGGACAGGACAAAGCAAAGGCAATATTCACCGTGCTCAGATACTTCTCACCTCTGTGCATTTAGCTTGAAACTGAAAAACTAACCTCCAGAGTCTGGACGCCAGGTGGGGTTTGAATTTTGTTTCAAGCTCTACTCCCAACCTCTCCATTCGTAGTTCGCCTCTTTTCCTTAGACTTAATGCCTTTTCCTATCACCTCCCTCTCTGAACATCCTTCTTTCAACACCTGCTCTCCACTCAGAATCCACACTGCTATTTAATGGCTGCAGAGACCTCCGCGTCTCACGTCCAGCACACATGTAACTGAAGAACACAAAACCTGTGTAATTTATGCATTGGGTGTTAAGGGGTAAAGGGTCTCTGAAGTACCACGTCCTCTTTGTTCTTCAGAAGCGCCTCTAAATGGGTGGTCATTTAACTAGCTGGGCTGCTCAGCTCAGATCTTGCTGTGTAAATCCAATCAGCAGTTGTTACTGCCCTCCCTCCCATCGCCCCTGCGACCGTGCTCAGTACGGAGGGTGCTCTGATCTCTTTATTTGCAGATGCTAATAGACGTGGGCCATTATTTTTTTTAAATCAGTGATGAGTTTGCATCAATAATGCAATCCCTAATAAACAGGCTTTTATTACAGTCCAGGCGCTATGCTCAACTCTACAACAGAATTCTGTCCAATCCGTACAAGAATCTCTAATAGGCACTGTCAATCTCAGTCTACAGATGAGGAAAGTGAGAGAGAGAAGCCTCACAGCTTGCTAAAAGGGCTATGAGAGAGATGAGAGGGAAGTACACACGCCCCTGCGGCCCTGCCTCCAGCTCAGCTGAATATTCTCTCACTGTCCTCAAGGCTAAGAGCAGTCCTGGCTCCTCTAACCCCGCCCTTCTTGTGTACTCTTCAAACTTTCCTGCCCTTAGAAATTCAAGAAACAAGTGGGATCAACTAGAATTCATTAGCTTTTCAGCCCTTCCTGGCAAGCTCTTTGAAGTCAGTTTTGTTTTGTTTAAACGCTGAAGTTTTGAAAAGATCAAACAACTGTCTGCTGACTTTATAGCTTTCTAAGGAATCCCGGGTTGCCACTTTATTTTCCAAGTCTCTCTTTTAGCACTTGTGGCCCTGTTTCCTAGTTATCTGCCCATCTTTTTGCATTAGATCACAAACACCAGACGAGTCCGGGCATCTTCATCCTTCTGCCTCTTACGCGCCCTGACACAGAGCCTTGCCTGCAGTGGGTGGTCACAGATGTTTCAATGTCTTCCTCAAGTCTTTTGTTTGTGATTAAAGAAAATTCACAGCAACATTTTTTTTTTTTGGTACCGGGGATTGAACTCGGGTCCTTGCACTTGCAAGGCAGGCCACCAAACCGCTGAGCTAAATCCCCGGCCCACAGCAACATATTTTAAACAAATATTCTCAAAAGCAATAAAAAACAAGTAAGACACTACGTAGAAAGGCCTACTCCACCTGCACGGAGTTCTCAGTTGTTTCAATTAAATCAGTAATACTATAATAGCAACCTCAAAATTAACTTTATTGATATATGAGGCATACTGTGAAATGCATTATTACTCGGTGTTAACTCTGTAGCTTCGGGTATAGTCATGAAGTTATACCACCATCGTGACTATGTAATCCTAGAACATCTCCATCACCCCAAAGGTGACCCCACAGTAGTCACTGCTCTGTGCCGCTCCTCCCACCTCTGCCTACTGCAGGGCTCCTCTACTCCTGGTCTCTGGCTTTTGGGACACATCCTATAAACAGAACCACACAACATTTGTTCTTTTGTACCTGGCTTCTTTCACTTAGCATAATATTTTAAAGGTTTGTTCATGCTGTAGCATTAAGCAGGGCTTCGTTCTTTTGTATGGCTGAATAATAGTCCATGGCATGAATGTATCTTTATCAGCTGGAGTTTTTCTATAGTTAGCTGTTATGAACAATGCTGCAAAGAACAGTCATGTACAAGGGTTTTCTTATGAATCTAGAATTTTATTTCTGTGGAGTATATACCTAGAAGAGAATTACTGGGTCATATGGTCATTCTATGTTTAATTATACAATTGATTTTAAACACATTTGTATTATTTAATGTTGAAAAATGAAAGACTGCACTTCTTTAAGCAGCCAGTTATTAAAAAGAATTTCACTTAATTCTGGAGTATATTTTTTACCTGATTCTCATTAAGAATTTGAAGTTTGTAGGGCTGGGGATTTAGCTTAGGGGTTCCGCTGCTGGCCTTACAAGCGCAAGGACCGGAGTTTGATCCCTGGTACCAAAAAAAAAGAATTTGTAGTTTGAAACTTCTATTTCCCATTATAAGTGATGGGCTGGAATACAAGAGATACCTGTTTAAGAGCACTAAAAGGAAAAAGTGAATAATTTGTGGAAAAGCCCCAGCGATGATTATGCAAATGAAGATAACTGAAAGTTGGCTACAACTCTTGCCTCACATTGATTACCTTCTTGTTTGGAACCTATGAGCTCCTGTCATGATAGTATACAGCTGCAGAAAAAGCCCAGAAAATACACAGAATGATTATGTGGCAAGAAATAAGCAATACTCCTGTGCCACTTACCTGTAAAGTCTGAGCTTCACAGTGTCTTCATCGAGAAGTGGGCAACCGTTGTGAGTATACCGTACTTCATTGGGGAGGAAATGGCAGTCAAACACCTAGTTCATATGAAGAAATGAGAAAATTGGTACGAAATTTCATTTTTTCTAGCTGTAAGTGCGGTCTGGAAAAACAATGGTCTGCTAGTGGTGTGTGTGTTTTAAAAACCAACAATAACCTCTACCCTATCCCCATTCCTACCCACCCTCCTGCTTGTACAGCTGTGTCCCCAAAAGAGAATATCTAAATTATAAAAATCCAAGCAGGTCAAGAAAATAAATTAAGGGATGACTACTTCTCTAAATGATTTTCTCTCCATTCTGCTTTTAAACTATGGGTCCATTTATCAAAATCTTATTTTCTCCCTGAGAAAATGAGTTAGGTCTTTCTGTACGCCTCCATAAAAAGGCATTGTCCCACCCATAAACAAGCTGTATCTGTCCTGTATATTTTTGTTCTCCTTCTATTTCCTTCTTTTCCAGACAGAATTTCCATATTAAAAACAAAGCCACCAACCAGGTATTTAGCTCAGTGGTGCCGCGCCTGCCTCACAAGGTCCTGAATTCCATCCCTGGTACCAAAAAAAAAAAAAAAAAAAAAAAAAAAAAAAAATGAAGCCACTGATGACTATGGACACCATTCCAAGTCAGATGTGATCCTCAGTCGTTTCCTGTCTACTCACCAAGACTACGCCGATTGGCTGTGCAATGTAATGGCACAGATGGCTGGTGAGACGGAGTTCCAGTGACAATCTCCTCTGTTTGGATACACTTATAATTAAGGGTATCACCACACTCAGAATTACTAAGAAAATTGCTTTTAGTCTAAGACCCCTTGTTTATTCTTTTTCTTTTTTAACCTGATTTGGGAACGCTAGTATTTTAAGAAAAGTCTTTCGTTCTACCCCCTCTGACTCCCGTTCTACCCAGTCTGACCTGGTAGTTTTGAGAAATACCTTTAAGATACTTACACATCCTCACTGAACAGTTCATGGTGTTTAGTCTATGCCTTTTTCAGCTTCAAACATCTTCAGACAACATAATGCACCTGAGAAAGCGCTATCACTAATGTAAATTATTTTCTTGTCCCACAGATAGCCCAGGTTCCTCTTTTTAACTGACAAGTAGGAGGGAGATAAAGGGAAGTCCTTCCCTGTATCACTGACAAATAGTCGTGGTAATAAAGAGACAATCTGCTTTGTTAAAAGAAACATCTGTTTTATGTTTCATAATATGTTTTCCTTTTATAAAAGGCGACAACCATAATTGTCCATAAATTTACTAAATAAAACAAAGGAGAGCTAAATCCTTTTCTAATTACTGTCTAGCATTGTTTTTTCCACTTCAACTGCTTTTCAATTACAATTTATAATTAAATTGTCACACATTCCTAACTCATTACTCACTTTAATGACAGTAAACTGGTTCAAACTAGAGAAATTTTCTTACTGCTTGCTGTATTTCCTATTCAAAAAGGCAAGCTCAGGGCTAAACTGAGGTGCTTTTCCACCTGGGAAATTTCTTACTTTGGGGCAGGTGTGAGAAGGGCTGCCATGGGGAAATCTTTTCCTAAAACATGAGGCAAACACATTGCCATTGACCCCATCTAACTGCCTATTCCAGGGGGGTTATCCAGACAGAAGGTGCTGGCACGCACCCCCTGAAGCCCCTCTCCAAACATCCAGTAGGAAAATGGACCTGTTGATTCTAAAACAAACTTCACTAATGAAATGAAAACACTAATTGAACAGATGTTAAACAAAACATTTTCTGTGCAAATCACATGAAAGTGTTCATTACACAGCGGGGTGTTGTTAATGCTGTCATCTCGCTAGAAATGGGTTCACATACGCCTAGCTTTTGGCTATTAAGTTCTATTAAAGAACAATGTCTAGGCTGTGTGTGTGTGTGTGTGTGTGTGCGTGCGTGCGTGCGTGCACGTGCGCACTGCACATGCCATACTTAATCTCAAAAACTCTGTAAAAAATAAATCTCTGGGGAGGGTTAAGCCTACCTAGGTTAAAAGTCAAGCTAAAATTCCATCGGGTTCAGGCTACTTGCGAGTCTTGTTTTTGTTTAAAAAAAAAGGAATAATCACCAAGCAGTTCGAGAAACAAAGTTCTCCCACAGTACAAATTTTTCAGGGGCAAAAGTTTAATACTTGGTAAAATAGTGATGAAACTTCACATTTTGATGGGCTCTACTGCCATAAAGTAAATTTTAGAAGACATAAATCGCATGCCTACTACAGATGATGTCAATCAGTTTGAAGCATCGTATTCACCTTTGGAAATACACTCAGTGAATATCCAGGAGTAGATTCTAGTTTCTTAAATGAGCAGCAGTAAACTGCAGGATCAGTAGAGAGGGTTTTCCTAGTCGAGCATATCCTAAATCAGCCAGGCATTTTGTTGTTTCTGTTCCACATTATCTTCCAGTAAAGAGTTTCTCCCTTAAAATCAGAAAGCATTTAAGATGGAGACAACTGGAGGTCTACTCTGGCCCTCAGACCTTGGGACTGCACTTTTAAAACTGGCTCCAGTCCCTTGGATCCCTTCAGAGCAGGCCAAATGATCTGAACCTTAGAACATCACTGAAAGTGTACAACGACAAGGCAGTTTGTGATTACCTCAGGGTGACGGTCACGTGTGTTCAGAAGTCACAGGCCGTCTGGGGTAGAGAGAGGATTGGAATAGGTGACAATAGATCTTCTCCAAATTGCCTTCTTGGAGCAGAAACTGGCACACGGCAAGGCTTTGGTTTTGCTCATGGGCTCTGTTCTCCTGGGGTCCCAGCTAAATATACTGATGACAGCATAGAGAGCTTGTCCCTGCTGTTGGCAGGAATTTGGTTTCTTCTTCTCCCCCGAAGTAATACTATTCAGCCTCACTCCTAAATAAGTGTTGAACACCTTTTAAAAAAATATTGACTGGACCCCTGTCTTCTCAGTTTCCAGTCCTCTAAAACCAGCTGGGCTTGGTGGCTCACGCATGTAATCCCAGCACTTGGGAGGCTGATGCAGGAGGACTGCATTGAGTTTTAGGACAAAATGGGCTACATAGAGTTCAAGGCCAGTCTGGACTACATAGCAAGACCTGTCTCAAAAAAAAAAAAAGTACGCCACCAGTCCTCTAAAAAATCAGGACTCTATCTTATTACTCCTCCAAATTCTAAGGATTTATACTTTGCTTCGATCTCAGACCCTGTAATTGGAGCTCCACTGCCCATTGTTAAGGTTACCCCTATCACCTAGCCATCCTGTTTACTGCAGGATCCTGTTACTCGGATCTCCTTCTGCCCTAATGTTGAGAGAAAAGTGGGGAGAAGCTGCAACTACCACACACTTGGGAATACAATGTCACAATATCCACCACCATTATTGTATTCTGACACTTTTAGACACCCGACGGAAGCTCTTTAACTCTCTCAAAAGTCTTAAAATAGCAGAGAAAATCTCGCAGGTAACTGGAGGGAGACATCTAGTTGCCACTGCATCAGAAGACCCCTCATATAAGAACCCTTTCCATGGACTTCTGAGGTATTTCAGCATTGGCCCAGAACTTTAAGGAAAATAAAGTGTCTACAGGTATCACTAGGCTAGCATCTACCTAATGCTTTTTGTTCAATGTTTACAACATGAGGTACTACTTTAAGTAACTTTATCATATCTGTCTCTGTACCTAAATGGAGAAGAAATAATGGTTCAGCAACTGGACTGGTGCATCTTCCCAGGCGCAGGAGCTGTATCTAGAATTGCATATTCTCAAGACTGTTTGCCTTAGGAGCAAAGTGAAGCCCCGTGGGAACAAGGAATAAAACCAGAAGCAACTTTCTACTATGTATGTAAGAACAACATTAAGCAAGAACAATATATAAAAATACAAACTTAGAAGGTGACTTCCCCCTCCACAAGAAGTGACCATGGAATACCCTTCAATACGCAGGTCCCTGGAGTCTTGGTGAAAGGGGAAAATATTTATGCAAGCTTTTTTGAAAAACTGTGAATGTTTAAAGTTCGTCACATCTCATTTCTACTTCGCTTACTCAAGCGAACACCTCAGGGACATTAATAAGTGCAAATGCCTCCATATTTTACCTTTGCTATTCTGAGGGTCATGGGTGTGTCCTTGAACCATCTGAAAACCTTGGTATCTTACCAAAGGCCGTCAATGACTGCGGGCAAGAGTTCTCTTCTAAGGACTGGTCACAGTCTGCCTCCAGGGAACTGCCCGTGGTGTCTGTCTGAATCTCTCTCTCTCTCTCTCTCTCTCTCTCTCTCTCTCTCTCTCTCTGTCTCTCTCTCTCTCACACACACACACACACACACACACCCCTGGGTGCTCTCAGACATGACCCACCTGAGGAGTGAGTTTCCCAACCCTCTGGGTTATGGGCTCATGCACCACGACCTCCACTTTGCAGGCGTCTTTCTCCCTGGGGATGGCAAACTGCAGGTCCTCCGCTGACAGGAAGGCCGAGCTGCCCTTGTTCACCCTCAGACCGTGGTTCAGGCTGACAAAGGTGGGCTGGGCCACACGCAGGAGCAGCAGAAGAAGCAGGGCACAGGGTGCACCGGGGCCTGCAGCGCTCATGCTGAGCCAGCCCGCAGCTCAGGACAGGAGGGCAGCGGGCCTCGCCCGGGCCAAGGGGTCTCACTGTGCCCCTCTCATTTCGGGCTCAGACAAGGACGCCTTTCAGGCAATGCTGGGCTTTTCATAAAACTCTGCTGATCACTCCTGACAACAGGGCAAGATGAATGCACCTCCCCAGTGCTTCGCTAATCCTGCAAAGGAAGGAGAGGAAGGGGTTGAGGAAAGAGGAGAGACCTCCGCGTTTGCCCGCTCTTCCAAAGACCACTGCCGACAAAGGGATCTTTCAGCCAGCCCATGATTAAAGCTAAATTAAAAACAAATAAACTAACTTGACCTCCAGGCCCATCTGAAAGGCAAAGCAGCCATTCATTACCCTGTGGTAGCTGCTGCTTCCAGACGCAGCAGACCCCATCCAGGTGTCTGTGTGGTCCACAGCCCCCCGGCCTCCGGGCTCAGAGAGCTGCTGAGCGCTCTGCCTGTTTCCCGGTTTGCTAAACGGAAAATACATTCTGCTTTGTGTCAGAAAAATAAAAGGATTATATGCACGCTGCTTGATTTAATTTTGAATCAGTACAAACCTACTAAAAAATAAGCTTAACATCTGTCACGTGGATTGACTTGATAGGAAGTGGAGAGAATATTTCTCTTTTAAGCAAGCACGCAAGTTTTTATTTCTGTGTAAAATGGCTTACAAACCCAGTGACATAGTTGCACTACACACAGCTAAGGTACAGTGTATGCAGTGTGTATTTACCATATCCACAATGCTAACTGCAGTAACCTCAGGTTAGACAAAGGGAGGCTTGGTTTTGACTTTAACCACTCAGAATTCTGGGGTTATTTTTCTGTTCTGTAAGAACTGAAAATATTTATCCAAAGCCAAAGGTATTGAAATATATCCTTAGATCCCAAGTATGCAATGGTGGTTTGTTTTGCCCACAGAAAAGCCTTGCATTTTAATGACTGTAGTAAATTTCTCTATGTAATCAGAAATACCGAAGTAAATGTCCATCGTATGGTGTTCATAAAAATGCCTCTGCTACCCTATGCTCCTACGACCAGATCCTGCTCCCCACACTCCCGGTGGCCAGGGCCCCACAGCAGGAAGAAAGGTGCCCAGGGTAGGGAAAGAGACCCAAGAGAACAGGGTCAGGAAGCTGGGTGGGAGTGGCTTTTCAAAAACTGGGGACAAAGGCCAGATTTTGCAGCAAAAAACCTCACCATAAAAATTGAGAGCACTTTGAAAAGTTCCGTTTTCTCATAACCTAGAAGTCTGAAGAAACTACAGTTGACAGCAGGAAACCTCAGACTACACACAATTTTATAGATGGTACAATACCAGCAATGAGATGAGAAGCAAAGTTCAACAGCAAGAAAACTGGAGGTCAGAAAATCAGTGGTCGGAAGTATTATGAACAACGTCCCAGGAACTCACGTCTATGAAAAAGCAGAATGAAAAAACCCAGCAACATTTTGGGTGGCAATTAACTGAGAAGATGAAAATGCTCGCTTCAATAAGCAATCGCCATACTGAATCGCCTTTTCTTTTCCATCACTGTTGTGTCCAGTTACCTTCATCACAAACATTTTATATGCAACTACTTCATAGCATTTGTTTGATTAGGATTACCTCTTTGATTAATAAATAAATGTGTACTGGCTTTAAAACTACCTCTATGATCTGATCCACTTCTAATACATTTTAGGGGAGTCACATGCCGGGACCACTCCAGAAACCCTTCACTGAGGAAGCAATGAGTGACCTGTCACTGGAGGGTGTGTGCTTCACACCTCGCCATTTTTTATGGTGTCAGCCTCAGAATGAAACTGCTCACACACTCCCACTGGCCGTGCTAACCACACACACTGAATTGTGTCAGCCCATCTGTGCAAAAATGCAACTTTCACAGCAAAGTAAAATCTTTTTTCCACTGACATTTAGTGTTTACGAACACACAGAAAAGTACCCCATTTGGGGAAAGGAGAGGCAACGGGAAAAACAGTTTATCTCCCTGAACAGTGATCTCAAGGCCAAGGCCAGCCTGAATTACAGAGCAAGACCCTGTCTCACAAAAATAAAACAAAGCACAAAGAATAGTGCCTTGGTACTAGCCATCAAGGGACAAGGGGACAAAGGAAAGACACATCTTTCTTCTCGAGTGTGGCCATGCACCTAGTGGGAAGACTGACTCCCAGATGAAACCGGAGAGAGAGCCCCCCGCATCTCACTCAGAGCCAGCCCCAAAGGTGCGGCTGCAGCGCCCTGAGTCCCACTAGAACAGTCCTTGGCAGAGGGGGATCTATACATGCTGTGCCGGAATCCTCTTCCCCTGCCACCCACTCTGCAGCAGCTGGCGTCTCGTGCTCTCCGAGGACTCATACAACCAGAGTTTTACTGCAAGTCAGATTCATGGCCTTGACACATGCTGGGCCCGCTGGCTGGCCCATCTCTACACCAGCTCCATCTTTTGGCTCCTGCAACAGTCATGGCTGGGCCCTGCGTCCACACTTGTGGAGCCAGATCTGGGCACAGTGTGACTAAATCCACCGCCATGCTATGGAAGGGAAGCTATCTTAGAGGCTTTGCCGTGATTCACAGATTTCTGTCACAGATTCGTAACTTTAACGTGTGTGGTTTAGCAATGTCTAAGAAACTCAGTGGGGACCAAAATGAAACAAATTATAAAATCTTCTGTTTCATCTTAGCAAATCAGAATACCAAATAAGACCCCTTCAAACAAATTCTTAAAATAATATAGTGATTGCTTCCTTCTTTTCCCATATGGTAACTACCTGTTTTCTCACATCTACTAAAGGCAAGAATGTCTCTTTGTCCCACAAGATGCACTCTCACCTTTTATGCCAGTAGAAACACTAATGGGGTACCTGCTCACCCAGAACACAGCCTCTCTGGCAGTTATCTGTGGCTGTATAACCAGAATCTGGACAACAGAATTTAAGAAGAGATGTCACACGGAGCTCTGGGAAACATACTTTTAGAGGTATGACTTGTCCTTGGTCCTCTCTTCTCTACCCAAGGGAAATGTGCCATGCTGTTAAGGCTAGCAGAGCTGCAAGCCAGAAGGAGCCTGGCATCTGAGACATTTGTAAAGCAAAGAACACATCCACCTGTTTCTCCAGAACTTTATGTGGCAAGGAATTTAACCCTTTCTGCTTAGTTCATTATTGGAGATTTTAATAGTTCGTACTCATAAATAAATCTAACAATATGTTTGTTTGTTTGTTTGTTTGTTTGGCATTACTGGGGATTAAACCCAAGCCCACACTGAGTTACATCCCTAGCCCTTTTTTTATTTTTTAAATTTTGAAACAGGACCTCCTGAAGTCACTAAGCTTGTGATCCTCCTGCCTCATACACCTTCACTAATCACATTATTCTTCAGGATTTTTGTATTAATTTAGTTTAGTCCCCCCTCAATGAACAGTTATAACTTCTTAGCTAATAGCCTGTGGGGTTTAACCACAGGATGCGGTAATGGTCATGTCCTAATGCCCATCTTTCAGGAAGAGATAAGAGACTAATAAGAAAATCTGTCTCTGTGCTGGCTCCCTGTGGAACAGTGTTGCAGAGAGATTAGAGCTGGATTCTGAAGATCTGGATTATAACCTTGATGGTTACGCACAGCTATTTCCACTTTCAACAATGGATCCCCTACCTTGCCTCCTCAAAAGTTTCCCTGAGACCAAATGAAATAATCACTGTGGAAATATTTTAACCATAAAGCCTCATCCAAATGTAACATTGTTTTTTAAAAATATATCAAAGGAATATAAGACAGTCTACTATTCTCAGGAAAAACAAAATGGCAGGAATTGGGCCTTGTGGAGGTGGCAAAATTAGGCTCAAAAAATACCAAGCAGGGTTTATTTCATTGTTCTTCCTCATACTCTTTGGACAGGGTGCATAATTTTTAAAATCCAGTACTTCAAAAACAATACAATTGGAAAGGAAAAAAAGAATGCAAGGGTAGCAACGTACAGATTAAAAATTAAATAAACTTCACCCTTCAGTCAACAGAGCCTGAATGATGGTTACAGAATTAGGGGCCACAGGGACTTTTTCTTAAAGTGTGCTTTGTGTTTTATTTACATTCAAGCCTTGCTCCTGTATTTTTCTCCTTGGTGATGGAAACACCAAGCATGTGAACATTCTAATAAGTAAAGAATTCAGTTCAACTGACAGAGCAAGAACAGGAAAGAAAAACAGAACAATAGCAAAGCAAATTACGACAATAAATGAAATGAGAGCTCATGGGTGACAGTGGGTCTTTTATCTCCCCCCAAATAAGATGACGGTAATTGTCTTGTCTCTGATGCAGAATTAGGATTCTAGGGGCAGCCAACACTTACTTGATGAAGCCTTGGTGAGAAGCATCTTGAGAATGTCATTGTCTATCTCAACAGCAGGCCAAGTCAGGGCTCAGGAAATATCTGTCCACACCTTGCTCTGATTGCTGCCATGGACACACAGCAGCAGAACTACTGGGGACATTTGGAGGTAGAAGTTGCAACCTCATTCAGCTAGATTCCCCAAGGAAGCTTAAAAAATGACTCTGAGCCACTCCAACCTTACTTTGATTCTGCAGTAGAAAAAAAGTCCTGTCTTTGCTTACTTGCTTGCTTGCTGTTTCTCAGCACGCTGACATCCTCATGTCTGGCCTGCAATCAGTTTTGCTTTCCCTCCACCGTCTTTTTCCTTCATGTGGAAACCATGTGCTCAAGTATAACTTAGCAAGCTGTGCAAGTCAGAAAGAATGTGTGAAAATGTCCTGAAAAATGCAAACCTGGCCTGCTTTGAATTTATCCTTATGCATAAAGGTTACTTTATCCAAACTATCTTTCTTATGAAATTTCCTGAACAGAAGAAAATAATGTAGTAACATTTCATCTGGTGGGGGAGAAATGTGTACTCGTATTTATTGCATAATTACACATTTGGCTTAAACACAGGAACATGCATTCTCCATGTTGATGCAAACATGATACCTCTGTCGAAGTCTGAGACAATCTGTGCCCAAGAAAAGACCTGGATCTCAGCTGTGCTGCAGCTTCTCAATGAATAAAAATTCTCAGTGACAAATAGTAATGACATGCCTGGATGAGAACAATATTTAATAGTTTTTGTCTCTATGCAGAAAAAGGCTTTGATGAAATCCAACATCTTTTCATG